CGTTCTTTACCGGTACTTTGGAAAACCGACCTCCACAACCCAGGAAATGAACGCCATGAAGAAAGGGGCCCTCTTTGTAACCTCCCTAACCACTTTCTCCTACTTTATCTGCTACTTTCCCGCTGTTATCGTCAACTTCATCCTCAATATCAACCACGTGTACATCTTGGAAATAGGAGCCCCTTACCTACTGATCCTGGATTTCACCCTCACCCTTTTGCCGCATCTGTACTCCTGCATCCTGCCGCTCTGTCTCGTGACAGGGAAGACTTTGAAAAAGGTGACTGAAGCTGCTAAAGCCACCAAGCAGTCAGATGTGACGTTCGCTATGACGGCTGTGAAACCAGTGGCGTACCAAAGGGCCCCGTAGACCCCGCTATCAGAGATTTGCAGGTCTTTTTTACAAAAAAATCTTTCGATTTAGCAGCGAAATGTATCGTTTCCCGGCAAATTTATCGTTCGGTCGATGCGAAAAGAATATTTGAAGTACAAGAAGCTCCAGGGGGGGGGGGACCGCCAAAAAACTGTAAGGGTGCCCCAAAAAATAACCTGACGTTTTTTTATGGACCATACAACATTTTTGTAGGGGCGCCAATGCATTTCAGACTTCAGTGGGGGAGGCGGTTCAAATGGTAACGTTACGCCACTGTCTGTGACAAGAGTCAGGGAGTCAGTGGACTTTTTTGGTTCGATTTTAAATACAACGGGAGAACTTGCTGCATGCTGAAACTATACCTCAGCGGTGAAAAGCTGAAACTATTGACCAAATAAAGGTCAGATATTTGCGGCTGTGGTATAGGGTCACGGTACGGGTGAATACGCTTGTTTAAGTTGAATGATTTGGAGTTTGTTTATCACAGTAAACGACCGGGATATGATTTCAGGCCTGACCGGGACCGGGATCGGGACCGGGACCGGGACCAAGAATCCTGAATTAACCGTGACCGGGACCGGGACCGGGATCATAAATCAGCATTTGACCGGGACCGGGATGAAAAATGTGACTTGACCGGGACCGGGATAGCTCAAAATTGCCAATCCCGGTACCGGGAGTTCCGGTCGATTACTGGTTAATTCATGATCATAATTTATTACTCAAACTTGTTTAGCAATTTCAAACATTGTTTTATTTGGCTCAGAGGATGTTTAAAGATGAAATTCACAATGAATGAAAGGAAAAACTTAAAATTACAGTGAATGAAATTATGTAAAGATCCCGGTCAAAATCCCGGCAAATTAGAGTGATTGACCGGGACCGGGACCAAGAATCCCGAATTAACCGGGACCGGGATCATAAATCAGCATTTGACCGGGACCGGGATAGCTCAAAATTGCCAATCCCGGTCGATTACTGGTTTATAATAAAACTTGTCATAACATGAAATTTGCTGGTTTCGGGTTACAAATAGTTGAACATGTCGTGTTACTGCTTATCTCACAAGTCCTTGTTAGGATTGGCACCAACTTATCTGCAAGACATGTTCATTGTTCATGGTCACTTATTGAAACCTATTGTTTCATCTTTTCTAAGTTTGGTGACCGTAGCTTCTTTGTGGTGGCTCCAAAGAAGCTACGGAGATTTAGCATTTTCGGGTCCCTCTGGCTCTCAATTTTGCTATTCAAGCCAACAAAGAATTTATAAAGGTGGCACACTCACAGGGGTGGTAGGTGTGGGTGAGCAGCACAAGATTCTGGTTGACGTAGAACCATTGAGGCATTGTGTCTTGATACTTTGATATGAATGTGGAACCTGTCATTCCTGGTGCACTTTCTGTCGCTCTCTCACTTCTCAGTCTCTCATAGGTCCTGGATGAACTTTTTTAAATATTGCAACAAATCGCAAAACGTGTTACAATCGACCTTGCTATCAGTTCGAGCCCACGTTGCGTACGACATTTTTATGAAAGAAACGTTAATAAATATTCATGCTCAAGCATCGATCTAATTTTCACACCACCAGACGTAGGTAGTAATTTGACCATTTATTGATCATCTTTTCTTTTTGTGTGCTCATTTGGGCATTTGCCGGAGAAGAATCTTTTGTAGTTTGAGAAGATCCTTGTTGAATAAATGAATCGTATTTCAGGGTGCTATAAATAAAAAGTATTTCTATTAGTCCAATTCACCCCATTAACATTATAAAGCAACATATTGTGGATTATGAAGGTCACTCTGGAGCGGCGAGACACCGACTTGACTGTGGACGGTCAACTTTAAATTCATTATTAATATTTTGTGTTCGCTGTTCTTCTATCTATGGATTATTTATAGTTTTGTAAAAAGATGAAAGGTACTTAAAGTGTGACTTTTAGTGTGACGTTCGGTAAAGTTTTAAAACTTAATAAACTTACCCATTTCTCTTTCGTTAATTGTTTAACTTCTTTTAATTAATTCTGTAAAACCATAGGCCTCACTTAGACCTATTTTTATCTAAAAATGTTGCTACTTTTAAGTTTTCTAACAAAAGAAGGATAAAAGAGCCAATATGTACCCTAAAGGGTATAAATAGTGTTAATAGTTTTAAAGTCATTACGAAATAGGATAAAATGGACCTGTAAGAAGGAAGTACATCACGTTTCATGTCGTTATATGTTAACGGAGTTTTTATCTACAGGTACGATGGCCTGTTTTGTCAACACACTCTTCATTATTCTCAATCTTCAAATACTGTTCGGTCCAAATCCATTTCTTTGCTTTACCCCAAGGTTTGAAGCTGAAGTTGAAATAAATGGTATGATCCATATAGCTAAAACAGACGTTACTACGGATCACCCTCCTTTTCAAGCAAAAACAGACGCTGCTCCAAAGAAAAAAGAGCCGAAGATAGGGATTAGAGACGATGCTGATTCGATAGAAGAAGGGGAAGGGAAGACTGTGGGAATTGAAGATGACACTGATTCGATAGAGGAAGAAAATGGGATGATTATGGGAAGTGGGAAGAAGAGAAAAGTGGACCGTGGAAATCAGAAAATGTCTCTCCCAGTTTTTCTGGTCTCTACCGTCATAACACTTCTCAACTGCGGCCTTGCTCCAGTTTTCATACCCTTGAATCTAGACACCCTAAAGTCCCTCATAGTGATCTCCAGAGACAAGCAGCCCTTGTTCCTGCTGTTCGCTGCTGTTCCCCTGGTATGTTAAACAGATCTTATCATTGCTATGATCGAGGGAGTTGTGATATGGATTGACATTTCTAGAAAAGGCTGTGAAATGTTGGGATTCTTACAGATCACCATATTCCTTAGCCTGTCTCTCATCCTATCCACCATCTGCCTCTACCGAATCACAGCGGTTCTCAGGCCCAGATGGTACAAGAATATCGCTAGACGAAAAGTGGTTTTGAAGATCATAGCGGTGATCATTACCTCCTCCATCGTACTGTCCATCCTGCTGATCACGACCAAAACGATCCGTTTCAAGTACCTAGGTCCGCCTCACTCCATAGGCTGTTCCCTCTATGTGTTGAAGAAGATGCTGCACATCTTTACTTCCTTCCTCATTGTCATTACACTTCTGGTGAACCTCATCCTGGCCTCTACACACTACGTTCTTTACCGGTACTTTGGAAAACCGACCTCCACAACCCAGGAAATGAAGGCCATGAAGAAGGGGGCCCTCTTTGTTACCTCCCTAACCACTTTCTCCTACTTTATCTGCTACTTTCCCGCTGTTATCGTCAACTTCATCCTCAATATTGACCACGTGTACATCTTGGAAATAGGAGCCCCTTACCTACTGATCCTGGATTTCATCCTCACCCTTTTGCCGCATCTGTACTCCTGCATCCTGCCGCTCTGTCTTGTGACAGGAAAGACTTTGAAAAAGGTAACTGCAGCGGCTAAAGCCACCAAGCAGTCAGATGCGACCTTCGCTATGACGGCTGTGAAACCAGTGGCGTACCAAAGGGCCCCGTAGACCCCGCTATCAGAGATTTGCAGGTCTTTTTTACGAAAAATCTTTCGATTTAGCAGCGAAATGTATCGTATCCCGGCAAATTTATCGTTCGGTTGACGCGAAAAGAATATTTGGGGTACAAGAAGCTCCAGGGGGGGGGGGGACCGCCAAAAAGCTGTAAAGCTGTAAGGGTGCCCCAAAAAATAACCTGACATTTTTTTAAGGACCATACAACATTTTTGAAGGGGCGCCAATGCATTTCAGACTTCAGTGGGGAGGCGGTTCAAATGGTAACGTTACGCCACTGTCTGTGACAAGAGTCAGGGAGTCAGTGGACTTTTTTGGTTCGATTTTAAATACAACGGGAGAACTTGCTGCATGCTGAAACTATACCTCAGCGGTGAAAAGCTGAAACTATTGACCAAATAAAGGTCAGATATTTGCGGCTGTGGTATAGGGTCACGGGTGAATACGCTTGTTATAACATTTAAAAGTTGATTGATTTGGAGATTGTTTATCATAACATGAAATTTGCTGGTTTTGGGTTACAAAATAGTTGTACATGTTACTGCTTATCTCACAAGTCGTTGGTAGGATTGGCACCAACTTATCTGCAAGACATGTTCATTGTTCAGGGTCACTTATTGAAACCTATTGTTTCATCTTTTCTAAGTTTGGTGACCGTAGCTTCTTTGTGGTGGCTCCAAAGATGTACAATCGTCTACCATCTCATCAGCCCTTTCCCTGGAATCCTTTCAACAACAAACAACTGTCCTATTAAAAACTGTCCATTAACAAACTTGAGAATCTTTATCGATATAGTATTTTTGGTCGTAACTGGTGTAAGATCTTTAATTATTAGTATCGTTTAATCATTAGTATCATTTTTTTGCAAATTTCCAGTCCTTGCCTAATATTCAATTACATTTCTCGGATTAAACAGTGCTAAGAATAAGTTGTATCTTAATGGTAAATTATCAAACTATATAATAAACAATTTATTATTATCTTAAATTCGATAATAACGTCAAATTAAAAAATAAATAAATAAAAACAAACAAATCTTACGGTATTAGGAATATAGTTCCTTTAAACTAAACAAATCTTACGGTATTAGGAATATAGTTCCTTCCGCTGGTGATATTGTGGCTGAAGCTGGCAATGTTCTTGATGAGTTGAGACTTGTTCTTCCGGAGGTCCGACTGTACGTAGTCTCGTTCCTTATCTATCAGGTTCACGATAACCGGACGGAGTTGACCCAGCACACTGCTTCCAAACGCAGAGTTTCCACTCTGCGGACGATTATTGTAGGGGTGTAAATTAATTTTGAATTAATTAATACACTGTCACGTGACTTTTTAAACACGCTCTCTTGGTGGCCCTGAATGACTATTCGAAATCCTAGCCCTCTAATCTGATCCCAACTCTAACCCTAACCCAATCTCTAACAAAAGCATATGCTGAAACCCTAACCCTAACGAGAAATTAGACCAACTTCCTTATATGGTCATATCACGTGATCGAGACAGTTTTTCGCCAATATCTCGCCAGAGAAGCATTTCAACCCTATGTCATAGGGATGATTCGGAATCAGTGCCCGAAAATAAATCAATTCAAGTTGGTTTCAACTGTCGGGGGCCCTTTTAGAAAAACCTCGATGATCGACAGTAGAGTAATTTAGCACGCTCGCTTTTTTTATTGCATTGCCATGCCTGTCTCTGTGTCTCTGTGGGTTGATTAAATAATAAATATGCGATGGAAAAATTTAAAGAAACCTCAGAAATGCTGAAAAATTGCAATATGAGTTCATGAACCCGTTTCTAATTTAAGTTACTTGTTTGGAAGTTGAGTCGAAGGCTTGGTTCACTGCAGACCTCGCATCATCATACCTGAAGTGAGGACTTCAGTTTCATTGGAAGTAAAAGTTATAGGACTTATGACACATAGGCCATAGCAGAGTCAAAATTTACCTAAAAAGTAATGATAAATAATAAAACAAATATTTAATAAAACAAATATTTATTTTTACGGCACAATCAAACAATATCAATAATAAATAAATCAGGGGATGTTTGAAGAGGCTTCAAGTGCCACTTGAACAGAGATCAGGCTCCACCTGAAAATTATCCGCACCTGAACAGAGCTATCCTCTGAAAAATATTCTTGAGACTCTTTTCCGTGCGGAGTCGCTCCTCAGACAGCATATTCTGGTGGTCTAGGACCACATACTCACCCTCATCGGTACTAGCAAATCTACTGGCGCTCGACCTCCGGGACATTCATCGGCTGTGTGGGGGGGGGAGTTAGGCGATCAGTTTTATTTACTGCTTAGTGTTTTGCGTAGTGGGCGAGGTGAGGGTGGCTCTATTTTGGCACTTGTATCATGTATGTGCTTAAATCATGGGCTTTCCTTCAGATGTTTAATTTGCTATATTAGTTATCAGAAAACATTAAATCGCAATTTGTTACATAGCTAAATTCATGATGGATGGCCTTACTGGAATGAAATGTTTGAAAATGATTCGAGTGCAATGAAGAAAACTCCGAAAGTGTATAATAATAAGAATTGGGTATTGGAATGATAATGCAGAATCTAAAATTGCATGATATTGAACAATTTGTTTTGAAAAAATACTATCATCTAACTATAATTATATGAAATATCATTTATTGATAATAAACTATCAATGACAAATATACTGCAGTAATAAGCAAAACCAAAAATACAGTGGGGCGGACTTTAAAGTCACACTTTAAACAAACTATAGCTACCACACGATATTGATTAGTCCACTCGAAAGAAAAATAAGAAAATAACAAATATTATATTAAATAAAAGAAAACGATACCCAGCCTTACGGAGTTAACTCTTGGTCTGGTAATACTGGCTGTTATTATTGAAAAAATTTAAATTTTTCTCGCTAGTAAAACTTCACACTTCCCCAATAAAATCAGGACTTCAAATAAAGCAACAGCAACCACTACTATACGATACTCATTACACAGTGTGTATGGTATAGCAGGGGTTTACACGTGCTTCTGTAAAATGCAGACCTTTAACATACACATTATAAGTACCCTCAGTCAACACTTTAACTTCGATTTGAACTATATTTGAACGTATTAGTTACCCATGGTAACTGATAACTGATGGTTACCATTGGTTACCATTGGTTACCACTTGTTACCATTGGTTACAAGCTGTACATATTCACAGGATGCCCACAACCAACAGTCCTGACTTATTACAAGAAAGTCCCTTCACTCTCCCAGCTACATTGACGTGCTGTATTGGTTTACTGTGGAGTTTACTGTGGAGTCTCGTGTCCCAGGCCATGATGTTTCCGTGAGAGTCCCCTGTTACCAGGGTATTTTCGTGGACAAACGTGCAGTGCGAGATAACCTTCTTCTGCACTTTGTGCGTGGTGTCGCTGTGGTAACCGTTTGTTTGGGGCGAGTTCTCGGTGGCGTATTTTCTGAGCACTTTGGTTGTGGCAATATCCCAAAGTAACACGTCCCCTGAGACGAGAGCACAAGCTAAAACCTTCCCGTTTGGAGATATGGCCAGCGCTGATACGTATGATTTGAACGGAACAACACGTGCACAATTCCCGCTGCTAACATCCCACAGCCTACAACTGAGATCCTCACTAGCAGTCACCACGTAGCTGCCGTTAGGGTGGAATTCACAGCGCGACACGGGGGCGCTGTGCCCCGCAAAGATGCGCAGCGGCGAGGAGTGGTCAGTGCGCCAGAGCTTGGCAGTGGTGTCGTGGGAAGCTGTGCAGAAGAAGGGGGTGACTGGGGAGAAGTTGACGTGGAATACGGGCCATTTTGAGTGACCACAGTATTTGTACACCATCCCTGAGGTTATGGGAATTAGATTGAGGGGTTTGGGAAATGTACTTGTGCCACCACTTCTTATCTTATGAAAGTGATAAGACAATAATTGTCCTGAGAAATTTTAACTCCAAATATCCGAATTATTGTTATTGTGATAAATATGATGTTTCTAATAAAAATTTCTGATAATTCTGTTTTTATATGCGACCAAGTTAAATGCTCTTTTCAGGATTAAAATAGATCATGAATGCTCCATATCGATTTGAGTTATTTTTAGCTTTCGGATTCCTTAATATGGTTATGCATAGGATTGTGCTACTTAACTGTGCTAGGTGACATGTCTAGTATGGCTTAATGATCCGACATGTAAAATATGCAGTTTTTGTACTAAAATTCAAGTATCCTTCAAAAATGCCCACTTAACTAACTTCAAATAAAACTCACGGTCTGTCTGAAGATCCCAGAGGGCCACAGAGCCATCATGAGAGGCGGATAGAGCGTGCGTTCCCTTAACACACACCCAGTATACGGGCCCTGAGTGACCCCTTAGTTCAACATAAAGCCGGTCACTTTCTCCCTGATCAACTGAGAAGTGCTCGTCGTACATAACACTTGTTTCTGGGGCTGGCAGTGGGGTTTTGGGGGCTGATTTGGAGTTGGATTGGGAGATTTGGGAGGGTGGACTGCTGGTCATGGACCACTTGTAGATTGTTGAGTCGGTTGAAGAAGCCAGGAGAGTTTTGTTATCGGGCGTCAACGTCATGCATAAAATGGTGTTTTTGTTCGTGACTTTAATTGTTTTCACAAACGAAAACGAGGATGGTCCGAGACCCAATTCTAAGTTTGAACATGCTTTTTGTAAAGCAGTCTGGGATTTTGGTTCCGTGACTTTCTGATTTGATTCTTTCTTGATGTCAAAAACAAACTTCTGATTTGTGACTGATAGGATTGACAACCATTCCTGCTGAGTAATTAGGTCGATCAAATGTTCATAAGTATTTCTTGACAAACTGATCACATGTTTCGTGTTAAAATAATCTTGATCATCTACTTCATTCGCACTTGCAAGAATCTTCAATTCGACTATTTTAGCAAGAAAGCTGATGTAAACCTCTTTGCTCTGTCTCTGTCTCAATTCATGATACAAGAAAACACACAGTGGTGGTATGAAATCCTTTAGCTCGCATTTTAAAGTGTCTGGAAGCTGCTCGATGTATTTTCTTAGGATGAGAATTTGTTTTAAGTAATCTATCTGTCCAGATTCGAAGTAGGATATCGGAGCTGGTGTATTTAATGCGCCCTGAAATCGAAAATATTTCAACAATCTTTCAATTAAGACGCGTGCAACTGATTCGTAAAATCGATTAGCTTCCGAAGTCGGATTTTATTTTCAAAATTAGATAGCGTGCGAATGACCGTGCGTACATACGTGATTATACGATAGCTCGGCCAAAATGAGATTTCTGCGCCAAAGACTCACAAAATAATCACATCATTTGCATCGCGCGTTACGAATATGCCATCAAAACACGCGAATTTTGGGACAACTGGCAATTTTCAATCGTCATAAGCTTCGCGTTATCTTAGAAAGAATAATGTTACCTCTTTCACCGAACAGCCTTTTAGAGAATGCAGGTCGATAACTAGTCTAGGAAGTGAGGTGTTTAAATTCTGTACAGTGTTCTTGATCACTTCTAGGGAATCGTTGTCCACTTGCTGCTCCGAAAATTCTTGCTTCATCTCATACCTATAGACCTGAAGGGTAAAGAGGTTTAATAAACGATGTTTAGGAATTTAGGAGGTACCGGAAGAATCAGAAAAAGAATTTGGTGAGAGGATATGTGGCTCTGAGTTGTTAGTTTTATTTTGTGATTTAAGAAAGAAAAGGGTAACGCATGATGAAATTCGCAAGTGTTATATTTTAGTAAAACATTTAAATTTCGAATCTTCGAATCACATTCGTTGTAAACAGGGACTAAGATAAATCAAACGTAAATCAGTAAAAAATAAATACATGAAAGTATGAAAACAAAATGTGACTTTAATTAAATCAAATCGAAAATTCTTTTTATTAAGGTCACACTCAAAAATTATTTCAGAACATTGTCAAACAAAAAGGCACATGAATTCTGTCAAACAAACTCACAGCAACTAATCCTAGAAATAATATCCATTACAAGAACACCGAATCAAAGTTCCGACCAGTAATATCGGAGATATTATCCGCTAGCTTGCTACATCTCATGGAATGAGACGTCAGGAAAACATTTGCTGTGCTGGTATTTTTCACAACAGTCGAGCAGTTCAACCCCTTCACCCCCACCAACTCAATATCACTCTCATCATCACACCATTCCTTGCAATCCTTTATCTGCTGATGTGAATCTGTTGACGTTTTACCAGCGTTGCTGTAAAGCAGAGTTTTAGTCAACTTGTTGAACACGAAACTGTTCACCCCCTGAGTGGTTTTCTGGGGTTTAGCCTTCATTTCCACGTTGAAATACCCGCTCACATCACCCAACAACAGTAAACAAGCCGACCAGTACTGGTGGACTTTATCCGACATATTCTCCCCCACCAAGATAATAGTTGTGTTCTGTATGCTCTGTATCAACAGCTCGCACACTTTCAGCTCACTGTTTTCTAGATAAGGAACGAAGTAGTCGAGGGTGTCATGGTACGCACTGTCCCCAGAGGTTGAGTCACTTGGTTTGGATGAGTCTAGGATAACTTGAGGTGAGTCAGGAGCTGCTTCACCCTGAGAGGGAGGTGAAGGAGAGTGGAGTGAAGGAGAGTGGAGTGAGGGGGAGGGAGGTGAAGGAGAATGGAGTGAGGAGGAGGGGAGTGAGGGGGAGTGAGGTGAGCGGGAGGGAGGTGAGCGGGAGGGAAGTGAGGGGGGAGGGGGAGGGAGGTGAGGGGGGTGAGGGGGAGGGAATCACTTCCTCGTCACGTGACAGTAGTTTGTAGTTTAGAGAGTTTCCTGGAAGTTCGCTCCCGCTAACATGAGATTCCAGGGAGTCTTGGAATGTCTCAAATGATATAGAAGCGATAGTGGCTGACCGTTTTAGACCATCCTTTGCTTTCTTTTTGTCAAAGAGCTCATTTAGCAATGAAAACTTACCATGCTGTGAACTGAAACTCCTTAATAACTGTCTACTGCCAGAGTTGCAAAACTCGTCCTCAGGAATTTCAAGAGAAACCATCTCAAACGAATTCACAATGGGAGTTAAACTGTCCCTCCTGGCATCAAGCCTGTGCGAAACCGCTAGATCCAGACCTTGCAACATCAAATCCATGGCCATCTCCGAGTGTTGATCCACAGTTTTATCTGAGTCAGTTTCAGAGGGTGCTGATTTTAAACTAGCCCACATTTTACTAGTCAGGAAAACCCGAACTATAGTGACTTTCTCCAAACTGGGTATACTCTCTACAGGAACATTAGTCTCCTCTAACCCCTGGATAACCGTCAGGATACAACTGTTCAGGTTGGTATACACTATCTTCTTGTCGTGTATAACTACACCACCGTGCACTTGTAGACTGTCCAGCAGAGTAGAGCACCTGCAACATATTCAGCTTATTTTAGTGAGAGTAGAGCACCTGCAACATATTCAGCTTATTTTAGTGGGGCTGTAAATTGGGCGTGGTATTCATATTTTGTAAGATATAGCGGGTCAAACTTAAACAGGAAAACATTATTTATAGCTGAGAAACGATAAAATGGCCCGATCTTGTATATTATCCAATTTCATATCTATATTTCATCGCTTAAAGCAAATCTTGTCAGGAAGACTTAAAAGGTAAAATCTAAGGTTATAATTACCTTAATAAGCAGTCGAGCGGAACATTACTCTTATTGGGCAGATACCCTACATTGTTCCTGAAGGTAACCCCTCTATCAGGTATAATACACGTGATGATATGTCTAGCTACCTTCCTTATCATCATCCTTATCTGGTCCGGGGTATACTGGATGTGAAGGGAACAGAGCGGACCTAGGAACAGGACCATGGAGTCTATAAATAGCTTCACCTGCTGTACCATTGTCTCGTTAGACATGTCAGTGGGGCCGGACAGCACTATGAAGTAGGTGTAGATCTTCACAACCCCTAACTTGAACTCGGAGGTGTCTATTAGGGTGGGGATGCTTGTTTTCTGTAGAGAGGAGAGGATGTCGTGCAGGGCGTACATGTTACCAGCTATAGTCTGGCAGTCTTCTTGGGAGAGACTGAGGGGGTGGTAGAAGATGATGCTGTCTGATTTCATGAATGTCTCCTCGCAGAGTAGGCTGGTATCTATGATGATGCATATCTTGGAGAGGTTTCTGGTTTGGGGGAGGGTGGGAGGGGTGTAGTTGATTTGGGGTCCAGGGTCCCTGTTACTCGGCATATCCTCGCGCTACGGTTCCGTTTCCATTGTTACTGTGATTCACATTTTCATGGTAGGTCACATAGACTGCCCTGATAAGGGGGATTTTTCTGTTAATTGATGGGTTGAACTAGATGATTTAGTGAATAAAAAGATATATCAATATCTTGACTCACAAGATATTACAGGATTAAGCGTATGGATACAATGTAATTTATGTGTATTATAATATTATGTATGTTGATTCATTTAGTTTTATAGTTGTATCACTTTGTTTTGATAAATTTCTGAACACATTTATAACTTTTTGAGAAGGATAGAAAGCAATGAAATAAGTATGAAACAAAAAACAAAATCTTGACTGAATTTACAATGCAGAGTCAATTACTTAGAAATCGTGTATTCTTTAAACATTGGGTCCGTTCACATATTACGTAATCAGACGAGGGGGATGGGGTCTCCAAATTATTACGCTTGTGTAATTTCGACACAACAGCTATGTCTAAAACTGATAACGGAGGCTGGGAGGGCCAGGGGGGTTAAAAATTTGCCAAAAATTGATTACGTAATATGTGAACGGCCCCATTTCAAAACAGCATTGAAGATTGATCGTATAAAAATATTGTGAAACGAGATAAACTTGTTAATAACATTTAGAGACTATTTTATAAAGTTGTATATATATACAAGCACTATGGTATAATATATCATTGTAAATATAATACAAGACTACTAGTATACAAACTATTTTATAATAAATGATTAGTAGATGAGTCTATAGTACAGAAGACTGTGTTGAAAAAAAACATTTTTTTAAAAAATTTTTTGGCAGAATACGTTTACATAATGACGATTTTGTGTTATAACCATTTCGGCCAATATATGATTAAAAATACAGCACTACCGCATATACGCGATGAAAACGTAATGAAATTCCACATGTTCGTTTTTTGAACCTGTTTTGTGTCTTGGACGAACATTGAGCGTTTTGAGTGGAAATGAAATAATCAAAATCAGCGCGACTTACAAAACAAGTGGAATTGCTCGCGAATTTCAATAAATGATAGAGTGCTAACTTTCGAGCAAATGAAACTGCACTGTCGGCATTTTTAAAGGAGATATATCTGCATAACTGGTCATCAAATTATCAGAATGCCAACCCAAGTACAATATTTGGTTTCCAAATACAACATGACAATTTCGCATCAAAGTCATTATCAGAAATAAGGCTTACAAGATGTAAGATGAGCACAATTTTAGTCCAAACAAGGAAACACGAACAATGCATTTCGATCATTAGCAGAGAGAGCCTAAATCCTACATACTAGGATGGAGTTTGGATACGCTGATGGACTTTGAATATAATTATAATTCATGGTCGTAACACAAAATAAGGGCAAGATAGGCAAGAGACAATGTTAAGGCCAAACCGAAACATTCGCTAAATATCAATATTAAATATCCTTTTCGTTTGTTTCTCCCACGCATCTCATGAAATAGAAGTTACACTGCCGGGCGTGCATTCCAGATCAATGCTAGTGTGCCATGATGTATCATATTTTATGAGTTTATGTAAATTCATAACAAAAGTATGGTTTTCTCATAGTTAACAATGGCTAAAAACCGAAAGGAGTCATTACCTCCGGCCTGTAATTGGTTAGGCATATAATTAACTAATTAATTAATGTACACTTATTGCATGAATATTAGAATCCATGATATAAGCCATACTTAAAGCCATTTATGATACGATTTTTATGGACAAATACCTTCATAATAATGTTAAAAGTAAAGCAATATAAATTATAAAAACACATCGTAAATTAGTATCATTATGTAAATTGTTCAGTACATCAGTTCAAATAAACCCCAGCAAACGTTCGATGTTACTATAACCACACAATTCAGAAACTCAAAACGTCTGCTCCAAGTCAATGTAAGGGAACTTAGGATTGTCCATTTTGGCATAGCCAAGTATTGCAAAGTCCATCTTATAAAACTCGTTTATCTTGGCTATTTCTTCAGATGATAAGGGGGCGATGAACTCCTCCACTTCATCTAGAGTAGATCGTGAATCTGCACCTGAAGTAGCATGTATTGTTAGTAGTGCCGCAACAAGTTATAGTCAGATAAAGTTTAAGAAATCTATACTTGAACATCCTTTACATCTCGCTTTTAGACGCTGAAAGATTTCAGATACAAAATTATCGCATAATTCTAAAGTTTATTAAGTAAATGGACTAACTATGTTCATTCTTTGAGAATTCGTCTATCTAGATTCTGGATCTACCACACATGTAACACTAAGTTACTGAGTAGAAGCCTTTAAAAAACGCGGCATCCAGTACCTGTTTCCCCCTCCCCCCCTCCCCTCCCCCTCTCTCCCTTCCTCCCTCCCTCCCTCTCTCCCTCTCTCTGTGTTTACCTGTTTCACTTCTAGATCCTGGGAACTCCACCCCTCTGATCCCAGTATCTCTCATCATAGTCTCGATATTGTCTTTAGTTGTCTCCGTCTGACCCAACAGATTATACGGAAAAGTGCACACGTGCATCTTCTTCCACTGAGGGGTGAAGTGGTGATCATTTACCACACCGCGAATAAGCATATCCACAAACACCTTAAACCTGTCCGCATCACTAGCATCTGCAGGTACTCTCTGGTATATCTTCTTGTTGTACCCGCCTCCCTCCGTCCGCAGCACCTTGTTTCTAAACCCAGATATGAGCCGGGTTATGGGGTTCCTCACGAACCCCACCACGTACATCTTAGCAGTGATGTTCTTGTACGTCACGTCGTCCACGAGCGGGATATCCTGGAACTTTGCTCTGGGGTTCCTGTGTACGTGTAGCATCTCATCGTAGGGGGTTTCATCTCCTTGTAACCGTAACACAAACTTCTTGAAAGAAGTGGACCCTGTTTTAGGGTTGCTCACATACAGCATGTTGTACTCAGGGATAGCTATAGTATACGCATCAGGCATGTACTTCCTCTTGGTGGCATAGTTAGTTGAGTACCCATACTTCTCGCACTGAGTGTGAACGTGATCCAGCAGAGCATCTGTCTCCACTACAAAGTCGGAGGAGAGTTGTTGTTCGTGTTTAACGTACTCGTTGTAGTCAAGGAGTCTGATGACGGGTTGGTGTATTGTTTTGAGGGAGTTGAGAGAGTGGTCCCAGGTAGTGGAATCTGAGTAGGAGAAGATGAGGATAACCGCTATCAGTGAGATTGTGATGATGATGCGGAGAGGAGAGCAAATACGAGGCATCCGCCGCCTAAATAGTGAGAGAGAGACAAGTTAGAGACAAGTAATAATGTGAGTTAATGAGTTGACGATATTATATTATAAAGGAGTAACATAATTATAACGTCTGGTGAGGACAATCAAATCTATAGGAAAAAAGAAGTTAGTAATTTGAGACCTTGAACTAAACAATTAAACATATAAGTAGACATACCTATAGAAGGTTAATGACCGAACGCGAAGAAGAGTCATAATAATATATTATGAGGTATATAATGCAAATTATGCAATGTATAACAATGATTGCACAACGTAACACCAATGACCACGAAGCAATGAAATTTAGGCGTTTAGTTGAAAAAACAAAAATAGAATCATAAACGTTGTTAAAAATAAAACTTCTAGAATTAAGCTCATTAAGTTATAAATAAATATGATAAAAACACTTAAAAAGTGAAATACAAGTTTAGAAATAACATCAACAGAATTGTAAAAATTTTCAGCAACTAAAAACCATGAAATATATAATCTTGAGTTATGATCTGCATAAAACTTGTAACTCCTCGACTGGTGACAGCGTCTTCAGCGTGTACGGAAAGACGTGAATTCGTGGACATTTTGGAACTTTGCCATATTGCGTCTGACAAGATACTGGACTGAGTCCAGTCGGACATTTCCTTTTATATTAAACCGTCTTCCGCTCTGAAAACAGCATTTTTATTCTAGGTCTGCAGTAAGTGTTCAATTTTAATTGCGTGAAATTGAATGGTAACGAATCGGAAATGTGGGAGTTCGGTCAGCTCTTTATAAAAATAGTGTTAGGCATAATAAAATTAAAACCATTTAATAAGTTATCAAATTAGATGATAAAATTAAATTTGACTCTGAATCCATCATACTAAGAGGGAATAGGGAGAGGCAAAACTATGATTTCATATAATGGATTTATGTTTTTAAATTTCTCTGGATTGTGGCACATTTTTGACAATTTTCATACCGATGAAAATAGATTTTATCCAGATGAACAAATAACTGTTTTAACGAATTATCAGAGATAATAAGATAATTGTCGGTTAGGATTATCGAAGTGGATAGCCTATTATAATTTGGTTGCTTACAAAACAGGGTAAAGTTTGGGAAAACGAACAGATCAAATCAATTTCAATGACTGATTAACTTCATTCATAACTATGGCTGGATGGTGCAATTATTTTGGATTAAATTGGATTCACGCCAACAAGATTCAAATTAATGAAACAACAACGTACTGCACACTTATCTTCTCCTTAAAAAACAGATAACGACTGTAACATACCTGTAAAAGTCTGGAAAATATGGGTAGTATCCGACCTCCCTCGCTCCCATCAACCTTGCCATGGTCCAAATTCCTAACATTCCCCAACAACCCCTCCTCCTCCCTCGTGATCCCGAACAACTCCCTCACAAACACAGTATTGTCTCTGATATGAAGGGTCGCGGTATCACTGACATCCCTCACAGAGACTCTACAGTGGATGTTGTTGAAGGTGTTGACGGAGAGTGAGAGGATACAGTCGATACTGACTATAATGTTGAGGATACCAGTGTTCTGGAGAGTTCGTGCAGTGTTGAGAGTGGATATTTGGGAGGTGGAGAGGGTGGAACAAGGCAGGCTCACCAGGGATACTTGTGTCATGTGAGTCACGGACAGGAAGTGTCTGGTTCCGGTTGCATTTGTTACTGATTTCATGAAAAGCCTATAGAGGATTACTTTAGAACCAGGAATAAGGAATCTGGGTAGAACCCGAAGACAAGGGGTGAATGCTATGTTCTCCATGTTTTTATCAGAGTCCACGAATGAAATAAACCCGCTCTTCTCGAATGAAGATGTTCCAAGAACTTCCACCTCTACGTTTACGAAGTGCACTTTGTTTTTAAGTGCTCGCATTTCAGCAAAAGTAATCAGTTTTTTGATATCTTTGCCGTAACGTTCATGGTCTATTATCTTGTGTGACCGACACATGGGAAATGTATCTGAGTTCTCTGGAATATGTCTAATAGAATAATCTGGAAAGGCATTATCATCTAAATCCAAGATTATATTTTCAGATTCCCAATCAAAATTGAAACAATTCTCGAATGTCATGAGATAAAATTTCCCAGGAATGAGGTAGAGATACCATTCTGCTTTCAAATTGTGGATGTACACCTCAGAGATCATTTCAGTGTGAGCGGTTTGTTGATGGACAAAAAGTGTGCTAACAAAAAACCTGCTCTTTTTAATCCTGTTTGATTTCTCCATCACATAAAACACAACACTCTGCAGGAAGTGCCGTTCAGTAGGGTGTTTTGTAAAAACAGAAACATAATCCTCACCGCCGTTACTAGGCTCAGGACGACCGTTACTAAGGCGACCGTTACCAGGCTCAGGACGACCGTTACTAAGGCGACCGTTACTAGGCTCAGGGCGATCACTGATGAGTCTGATCTGATCAGGAGATCTAACAGGAACACAATCTCCTAACACCATCTCCCCAACCCTCACTTCATACACTGCACCCGGCCTCAGCAGGACCTCACCAAACAGTACCACCTCTATCTTACCACTAGAGTCTGACAGGATAGTCTTGCTAATCGTGCCTATCACGTGACCGCGCACTGTACCACATCTGGTATCTTTTAACTTGGAGACTGAGATAATAGTCTCACTGGTTGTTGGGTGGGAGGTTTGTTCCCTGCTCATTATCTCTCGTGTTGTGTCATTAAGTCTTGTTCGTAGTTTACTGGTGTAGAGCCAGCAACTTTTAGGTTAACTTTCATGACCTGATTGGAAAGGGAAAGTTATAGTTTTTAACAGAGAATAATATTTTAATGTATAGTGACGATATGAAGCGTAGGTATATTTTGATATTCATAGCAAATACTGATAGCAATTTTTATAATGTAGGGTTACATTAAGAATTCTCAACTAATAGTTTAAATGTGTTAAAATATTTCAAGGACATTATTGAATAAGCAATCAAACGCAGGTGTACGAAATTCAAATTTATTTATATTCATGTAATTGATGCAATTGATAATATTTGTTTGAACATCTCGTTAACTACGGTAAAGTACCTACATAATGGTACTTAGAATACACACAAATTTAAAATATTGGTTAATAATTTAGAGATACAATTACAATACAATTCATGCTATTCAAAATAACAATTATAAATGGAAACAAGTTTATTTATAAACAAGTTTATTTATATAAAATGATATGTTATAATGTATATAATATGGTTAACTATGATAATAATTCTGATCAACTATTCTTTAAAATCACATTTCTTTAGATCAACCCTATACCAAACGTCAGGAAAAAAGAACACACAATTAATATTATATTTAAACACATTTCTAATTATGCTATCACAAAAATACAGTTCTCGTTAAAAATAATTTGACCAATTAATTCTGAAATTTCACACAATATGAATATTATCACATTTAATGGTAAAATGCAAAAATAGACAACTTCATGCAAACATTTAACTCGCAATACAATAGCAATAAGCAAAGTTTACTTTTTACATGCATTTTTGGTACCACACATTTTTAAACACGCTCAAAACACGATTACAAAATACATACTTTAAAATACAGGGTGGCCCAAAAGTAACTACCCACACGCAACCCTTAAATAACTCAAGTAATTGGCATCAGAATTGCTCAAAAATTTCAGAGAATATAGATATGGGTTAAACTTAGATTTCCTGAACTGTTCGTAACATTTCATCAATTACAGAGGGTGTGGCACACCACTCCCTCTTTTCCTCTTTTGTCACCATAAAGTGAGAACGTTTTGAGTTAGGAACTCCAACATTTCCAGACACATGTGATTTTATAATTTTACGAAAATTTCAGGAAATCTAAGTTTGACCCATATCTATATTCTCTGAAATTTTAAAGCAATTCTGATGCCAATTACGTGAGTTATTTAAGGCTTGCGTGTTGGTATTACATTTTGGCCACCCTGTATTATGAAAAAAATAGACAATTACTGCATTTAAAAATACGTGCATTAAATAAACACTCATCATTGCAACTACTACATCAAGTTATATTCACTATGAAAAACGTCAACGACACGTTCTTTATAAAGAGGTTTGGCAACGTGACCTGAGCTTCAAAAAGCTAAGTTCCTGGCAGATAGGATCTACATCCAGCCGTAACCCTTTAAATTTAGCCAGCTGCTCATCTTTCAGCTTGATAATAGGAGCAAACGAGGGTCTACCATGTGCACATTGGAAAGGAAGATCGCAAACACTGAGTTGTTTAATTAGAACAATACACTGCTGTGGCGTCAGCTCATTTCCGAACCGTATAGCACCGTGACACGCTTTAGAGTGGAGATAGTCCACCAGTAGCGCAGGAAGGGCAAGATTACTTCCCTTTGATTCTTTTATCTGCTGCACAGTCTGGTGGAATGAGGTGACGATATCCTCAACCGAGATGTTGAGATGATTGGACTCTGAGAAGCAGAACGCTGGGATTGCTGTGATGAGAAATTGGAACTTACCAGCATCAAACTCAAACCCAACATGTCTTAATTTGGAGGATATGCGGATGATAAATTCTCCATCCGCTTTTGAGATCTTGATTGGGATATGGTTGCACAGCCTTTTCAACTCAACTTCTTTGGTAGCCTTGCAATTTTTGTGAACAGTGTCCAGCATGCACTCCAGTCTGACCCTCTCGTGGGCGGCGTGTTGATCCACCAGAATTAGCATTCCCTCCGAAGAAACACAGCCTATGAACTTCTCATCAATCTGTCCTATAACTTGGATCCCATCGAACACACTCTTATCAAACTTTGTGGCATCTAACAAGAACTTTCTATTGACCTTAGAGTCCGTTTGAATGCGCCATGAACCTTCTCCGTGGGTTGTGAACACGTCACTTTTCCATTTTCTTACATCCAATGGTTGCGGACGTTTGTGGACGGTCATTTTAGGTCCCTCTTTATTCCAAGGTGAATAATCAGCAACAAGATGACTTGCAGCAGTCACCGGAGCTATCACGTGGAACTCTGGCTGGATATTCTCCTTGTCAGCGTGGTCTGGTTTGTGGAGTACCTGAGAAGCGAAGTCAAGACGTTTCATCACTGTGTGAGTAGATATAGAGTGGCACTCCAGACACGGTGATTTGATGGGACAGTTCTCTTGAGAGTAAGCGGACAAGTCACGGGACTTGGTTAGTTCGTCTATCTCCCTTTCTACATCAGACAGGAGTGATCCGTCCATGTTCAGTGATCCGTTCATGTCACCGAAGCTGTCAAATGAGCAGGATTGCTCAATTGAACCGTCCTCGCTTTGAAAACTTCCTCTATCGGTGGAGCTTTGATAACTTTGATTATTTTGTATCTCGCTGGAACTGTTGACTTTGGGCCTACTTTGTACGATTTCTTCTGCTATTTCAACAGCTTGGTGTGGAACACTTTCTTTGCACGCACTCAAGATGTTGAGTTGGGTGAAGTTTACTGGTGAACAGCCACGATCAACAGTTATCTTTATAGGGGAACAGGCAGTCTCTACCTTACTATGGCCGACGATCATAACACGAACACGCTGGTTTTCTTCCGAACCTTTCGTCAGCGTTTTAGGATCATCTTCAGCTGTCTGTTTTTCTTGAGAGACTTGACTGAAATGTAGGACAGAGTTTTCTCCGGTTAAAGCTGAATCATGGTTGGTTTCCTCATCATCATTGGTCGGGGCCTTGCTATCATCCGAGTAGACCTTGAATCGTGGCTTTGGGTCAAATGAATCTCGGACCGAACTCTCATCCATGACAAATTTCTCCTCTTCATCCTCAAAAACGTCGAATGGTTGCTCACTCGACTTTTTTAAATCGATTGACTCAAATCCCAAAGGAGTCTGGTATCCAGAGTCCTTCATTTCGCCGAACAAATTGGCACCTTTTGTCTGCATATGAGACGAGGAATGATTCTGGCCATCTAAAATGAATCTCGGTGTTTCAAAGTGGAAACGTGACCGTTCAGTTTTCATTTCAATAATATGGTCTGTCTTTGTTACTTGTTTCTTGGAGACACTATAACTGGTCGACTGGTAGCTTCTCTTTCTTTTTGTTTGTACAGACGGGCTCGGAGCGTCTCTAATCCTTTGAGGCTGTCCAATTGGGGATATGGTGAGCTGTAAAACGGCGGGCTTCAACGGGCGTAGAGGTGTTGAAGAACGACGCCTACAATTTTCCGTTTTCAGATATTTTTCAAGGGGATGAGATTTTTCAACGGTTTTTGAGGATTTGATCACCCTTGCAGCTCGCTTCTCGTTATCTTTCTGCAGGTGCTCGAGAGCAGGAGAATTATGCAAATACGACAGTGTTGATCCGGTGATCCAGGAAGTAGGAGTGTTAAATATCTGGTCCTTGTCTTCACTGTTCAACTTTTCAGGTGTTTTTAGATTCCATGGTTTAGGGTTTCTCTCATTGTGGGGTGAAAAGTTTACATCATTGATAAGTCGAGTCTTCTTTGGAACAAATTTTGGGTGATTGGTCTTCTTAGGAGTTTCTAAGAGGACAGTTTCTTTAATCAATTTTCTGGGTGACGGGTCGTCAGTGGCACTGTCATTTGCTTCATTATCATTTTGTCTTGGGAACATGCTGTCAGGTGGAGCCAACGACCTATACTTGCTAGGTCTCAAAGCTTTATCTGATTTGATATTGATATTGGGAGAAGCGACTCTCAGCATGGACTGCAAAGATAGACAAGGAGTCTTCAGTCGGGCCAGCTCTTCATCTGTAACATCTAGAGGGATTTGTTCGGCTTCAAGGAAACTAGCAATACATCTGTAAACTAATGTGAAGACACTGTCCCAGTCGTGGAACTCACAGAACGTGTTGGACTCAAAGCACATGTCTACTTTGATGGGTTTACAAGTGATTAGAAATAGGAAAACTGGAAATCTGTTCTCTTGGTTTTTCCTATCTTTTGAGCCCAGTGCAGAGGTGAGAATGTCATTAGCAAACTTTCTAATGCGCTCATCCTCAATGTGGTGTCGGTTAATGTACACCAACTGTCTTGGCTTGTGGTGAAGTTCATTGCTCAACAAAGCAGTCAACTTGTACCCATTCACATCGAACTTGACTTGAGACAGTCTTTCCCAATCTATTGCATGATGGCAGTAGATCATGAAGTTGTCAGAGTAAGCTGAAGAAGACTGGGTCTGAAACAGCTTCGTTCCGGAGTGGATATCTTTCAAAGTTATCGCTACACTGGGGTTAGCTACTGCTACTTTTAGGAGGGTATCTTTAGTTTGTTCGAGGTCCATGTAGGAGACACAAGCTGATCTCACCGGCATGTTATTAAACACATTGTCAATGGTTATTGTCGTGCCTATAGAGTGGCGGTTTCGTTTTTCAGTCACGACTTTTGGTTTGTCATAAGAGGAGAATGTCTTGGTAATGGTAGAGTTGTGGCGCCTGGTGGTTACACTCACTCGTTCACATAACTTAACAATACTGTACAGACTTCCTCTCCGGGTCCCGTACAACTTCCGGGAGATTTTACGTTTGTTGGTTGGTGGGTGTTCGCATAGGTCGACCACGTTCTGTACTCCGCACCCATTGTCTACTATCTGAAAGTAACAAATTATGGATTTGATGATTACAAACTATGATTATAGTTTTAAATTGTACGTATATTTTTATGATTCAGTTCAGAAAACTGGTCCAGCTTTTTCAAATTGAACTCTGAGACAATAATATCGTCACATGTTCTATGAGTGACAATATCATAGAAGTGTACAACAATAATGTGTTATTAGAATGTGACATCAAATATCAACGAAATGTATGTATTTAAAGCAAAATCTGCACGACTGAACTTAAAAAACAGGAATGACGAACGAGAGTTGGCTGTTGAGATTAAGTTGATGGTTTTAACATTACATAATATTATACCTGTACTCTAGAGGACCTGTCTACGTTGATTCTGACAGCAATACACGTAGCTCCACTGTCTATACTGTTATATACCAACTCCTGAAGGACACAATCGGTTAGCTTCAAATTCTAGATACTATAATAACTAATAAAGGAGGGGTGTAGGAAGCGGGGGGGGGGGGGGGGGCAAGGGGAGTTGGGGCAGGGGGGCCATCGCTACCTCATGAAATCTGGGCAAGGGGCCAAAAAGGGCCAACTTTTTAATTTAGGTTTTAAGTCAAAAATTTTCAAAGTTTTCTTGGAAACTACTTTTGTTCATGTTTCATGCTACCCTGATCATTATGAGCCAACTTTCGGTTTTCGAAGTTCGATATACGATTTTGGACTCGAGGCAGGCTTCCCCTTCGCAATACGAGCTCGGAAGCGGGAGCTCTGCTTTCAGAGGTACGTATCGAGAATGATTCGGACCGAAAATTTCAGTCAACATTTTTCAAAGTTTTTCTGGAAACTACTTTTGTTCCTGTTTTATGCTACCCTGATCATTATGAGCCGAAATCATTGTTATTAGTGTAATATGGAGGCTGGTTACAGCAGTTTTAGAGTAGTTTTAGCAGTTGTGTAGATTGTAATTTAGTGATTAATATGACCGTTAGTAATGAGTGTGGATTTGGGTAGTTGGGTGGCCGCGTGGTGTCACGTGGCGCGTGTCGGTGGCGCGTTTCTGGACACGTTGGGATTGGTTCTGGAAAAGCTCTTTAGGTGACGTGTTTAATCAAAGTGTTAACCGCTGATCTAGAACGCCAAACGTGGCCCGTCTTGCCACAGTTTAAGTTGTGATTGTTGATAATATCTTTATATTCATCATTCGAACGTTATTACTCGATTCAACTGTTTCCTTTGTTCAACTCTAGCTTAGGACCGAATTGTAGCATTTGAACCGTTTGATTCACAGTACCGCACTTAGTTGCATGTATGTAGTAGTCATATCAGAGTAATTGGCAATACAAGTTATCGTGATTGTCGTATTAACGTAGAGTTCAATACTTAGTTATTGTGAGTTATTGCAGTTGTCAGTCGCTACGACGACTGAGAGTATAGTGTGTAGTGAGAGACTTGTGAGCAGGCACTGTATACCATTGGTACGCCTCGGGAGGACTGGTCTGGTGCCAACCTTATTTTACACTATTATGATATCCGGCCAACCATCTCCCCAACTACTTACTTAAGCAGCCGGATACTAAATTTAATCACTATCAGAGTGAAATTGAGTGGAATTTGAATTAAAATATTGTAAAATTTGTATTATTCTAGAGGGTGAAAAAGAAAATTGTTATTGCGTTATCAACAGCCAAATCCCCTCCCCCGTAATCAACCGTAATCATTTGGGAACTGATGATTACGGCTGATTACTTAATATGTAAACGCTCCTAATCACAACAAATGAGATCCATGCTAGTAACGTGGACAATTTGCACCTGCAGCAACATCATTTTAAACTTTTAATGTTATCAATTATCATATATGATTCAATTGAAAGGTCTCTTTGGATCTTAATGAATTACTATTTTAGCAGATTTAGTCTCCAATGTAACTCTTTACTAATGGATGTTTTCAAAATTCACGATTTCGTCTTCAGACGTATTCTAAAGTACCGATCAGGGACGCAATAAGAGTAGTTAAGCTCCATAAGATGAAGATATATCGCTCCCGGTCATATGTTATTACGTAAAGCGTCTTGTTGTCTGTTCGCATTTTATACAGAATACATCACTAGAATGATCGTTATAACAGGATTGAAGTTAGTCGTCATTTTTGACAGCCAGTTTTTACAAATTAAAAAGGACTAGCAGAAACCCGTCTAACCCTAAAATGGTGTCAAGACTCAAGAGACTAAAACAATTATTACCTATTTAATTCGCGTTTTTGACACCACTTGGGGTACCAAATTTTGGGCTCTAAAACTCCTATTTCTTGGCCAATTTTTTATTTTTTCATGCTGATTTGGAGGCCATTAAAGCATTTGACCCAGTCAAAAAGTTTCAGTTGTATATATCTTTGACGGTTTTTGCAGAAATTCGCGTTAAAGTTGATGCCGTGGTGTCAGTAAAATGGCACGGATAAATAAATATGTATATATATATCGTCTCGCTTTATATTATACTAGCAGGAACCCGTCTAACCCTAAAATGGTGTCAAGACTGAAGAGACTAAAACAATTATTACCTATTTAATTCGCGTTTTTGACACCACTTGGGGTACCAAATTTTGGGCTCTAAAACTCCTATTTCTTGGCCTATTTTTGATTTTTTCATGCTGATTTGAAGGCCATTAAAGCATTTGACCCAGTCAAAAAAGATTCAGTTGTATATCTTTGACGGTTTTTGAAGAAATTCGCGTTAAAGTTGATGCCGTGGTGTCAGTAAAATGGCACAGATAAATATATATATATATCGTCTCGCTTTATATATAGTAAGATTATATATAGTAAGATTGTGATAGTACAGATTCGCTGAACAAAGAATCTTATATATCAAGACCAAACCAGTCAGGAAGAATTAATTTTATTTAATTGTCTTAGATTAAAAAAATGAAAGTCGGAACAAAATAATAAAATTAATTTGCAAAAGAACTGATCGACATATCATTATTGGGTAGAACGTTAGAAGAAATTACAGTAGCCACAATATACCAAACAGAAACTCTACGACGTCGCGGTATGCGTTTATTTCAAGTATTCAAAGTTTAATTACCGTCCTACAAATATTCGTTCATAGAGAATGGGACGCTAGCTAACTTCAATGTCTAAGAGCTGAGGCTAGGGAAGTTCTTGTTTATACTCCGCATGCAATTCTGTTAGTTCGACTGTTGGGTTGAAGGAAGCACTTCCAACTCCAAGTCGAGTCCTTGAGTGGTAATTTGCATTCGAGGCGGTGTAGCTCGTTCAGGGGTTACTTGTGTTCTTTGAGGAGATATTATGAGCATGAGTTTGGAAACATACAGCTTTAAGAACTCTCTAAAACTCTTCACTGTAATTGAATATACAAAGAAGTTAGCCATTATGTTAAGGTACTGCACTAACATGGTTGATCGCCAAACTCCAGTGCCATGCTCTGCTCCTAGGAGCCAAGTTATAAATGCAACAGCGAACGGTAGACTGGAAAGTAACAAGACCCCCACAGTTAGCAGCACTGTTATCACCCCCTCCCACCGTAATGTTCGTCCGTGCTGGGAGCTAGCCTTTTTGGCGACAACCAGAATACAAATCGATGTGACCGTGAGTTCTATGTAGGAGAGAGCGTTAACGGCAGGGAATGCTATCAGTAAATACCATTTGTACCATGATGGGAGATTTGGTGAAGGGTAACCATAGACACAAAAATAGTCTTGGTAACTAAAATATAGAGAATCTCTGAGATAGATTATCTTGAAAATAAGCATTGGAGAGAAAACGACCACTGCCAAGAGCCAGACTGAGGTAAAGATTTTATGTCCGAACCGTGAGGACCAAACTCTGGATTTCAGGGGGGTTTTCAAAATTATCAGCTTTAGAGTTGTCAGGGTGCATGTTTGGAACACGGTCACCTGTGAACATACCCAGTTCATATTTGCCGAAACTTCACAAAGTAGTCCTCCTACCACCCAGCGGTCTGTGATGAATGCCAAAGTGACTGGGAATACTTTGAAGGCAGTTTGTAGAAGGTCGCAGATAGCCATGTGCTGCATCGCTGCTATGATAACCTTCTGAAGTTTGATGGCATTGTATCTTATAGTCGCTACTAGAATGATGCCATCACCTATCAGGGACGCAATAAGAGTAGTTAAGCTCCATAAGATGAAGATATATCGCTCCCGGTCATCTGTTATTATGTAAAGCGTCTTGTTGTCTGTTCGCATTTTATACAGAATACATCACTAGAATGATCGTTATATTTAACAGGATTGAAGCTAGTCGTCATTTTTGACAGCCAGTGTTTACAAATTCAAAAAGATTTGTTATAGTACAGATTCGCTGAAGAAAGAATCTTAAATAGGTATATCAAGACCAAATCAGTCAGGAAGAATTAATTTTATTATTTGTCATAACCAAAAATATAGCAAATGAAAAGGTGTACGAACTGAAAATATAGTAATTATAACAAAAGAGATTCATGCTAGTAACGTGGACAACTTGCACCTGCGGCAAAAAAAACGATTTGTTATAACCAAAAATATAGCAAATCATGAAAAGCTAATAAGAACTGAAAACATAGTTCTTACAACAAAAGAGATCCATGCTAGTAACGTGTACAATGTGCACCTGCGGCAACATTATAAAGTCAGAAGGAGAAACTCAACTTTCAGATGAGTTGCAAATAAAAGTAACACCTTAATAACTACAAGTTATAATGTATTCTTCGTTAACAACCTGCACAAGGATAGAAAGTGAAGGGATAGTGACAGAGGCTGCCAGCAGTTCTTGTGTTTCACTGTCAAGCTCCTCAATCTTTCGTCCCATGGCATCGAATATACACTTCTTACTAGAGATTGGCATGATATTCGTTATAATTTAAAATACCATCAAGACAATTACAAGTATAATACATATTATGATTGTTATTCGAGCATACGATAATATTTTGCACGGTAATTTTTTTAATTTTATACAATGTAAGTAATTTTAAATGTGCTATGATTTTAAATGCATTAAGCAACAGACCTAAGATTGACGTGAAGAAAACAAGAAGTAAAATTATCTCTTGAAATAAATTATATAAACGCTAAGAATAAAAACAAACCGAAACCTTTTATACTACAAACATACCTTTACCATCATCTTACTTTACTCTCGGTGATTATTTAAAACCAAATTGGGCAAATTATAAATCTTTGTATATGATGCAACATATTCGTGATTATGCAATTATGTTATGTCTGACACTGCTAATTATAGATTTTTACTCCTATCAAAGTATCATAATATTGTACTAAAATAAGGTTACCTACCCTAATAATACCTTACAATAATTTAATAATTGTATCTCATCTCCTTACCCTGAGTCTTCTCAATGGACCCTATCACAGCATCCATAACAATACCTTTAAAACCAGCCCTATTGAGTCTATAAACCCCCTCAATAGTAGTCCCTCCAGGAGAACACACATTGTTAGCCAGCTGCAGGGGGTGTTCATCACATTCCAACACCATCTTAGCAGACCCCTGCATTGTCTGGGCAGATAAACTAGCTGCTACTTGCCAGGGCAGCCCCATTCTTACTCCTGCATCTGCCATGGCATCCACCATCATGAACATGAAGGCAGGGGAACTACCACAGAGTCCACTAGCCACATCAATGAGAGCTTCTGTGGGTAGGATGGACCAGAGACCGAGCGGTTCCATGAGGGATTTACAGAGGGAGGTGTGGTGGGGGGTACAGTGGGTTCCTGGGTACGCAACAACTACTCCTGATCTTACTTTAACTGGAGTGTTGGGTAACGTCCTCATTACTGGTACTTTCTTACCTGGGGTTGGAGGGGGAGTTGACGAATGGGACAGTTTTTAATACAGAGTATACAATGTAATTCATATTAAAATGTTGTGTACACAACTTTGTAGTTGTTCTATTTCTTGATTTTGGAATCGATGGTTAAATCTTGTCAGATTCATTGTTCATCTTCCGAATTCAGTCTTCCAAAATAAAGAAATATAACAATTACTCGTAATGGGTTGTTTAAAAGTAAACAACGCTGTGATGAGAACATATTTTAAACTAATTACAACACTACAAATCTATTACATTTATTGAGAATTATGTAATGTAACGTGATGGAAATATTTTAAGCGGGCATATCCTGTCCAAACCCAGGATAAACGACATGAAGAATTCGTTGTAACTTTGTATGAAAAGCATTAATAGATATGAAAAGAATGATTTAGATAAACCAATAAACTTAAACTATGGGTAAAATAAAATCTCTAACAACACTCACCAACAAGATCCTCAATCTGCTGATTTGTAGTACAATTAACAACAGAAACCAGCAGTTTATCCTCTGTAACAGAACCAGCCACCTGCTCCAACACGCCCGGTAAAATATGTGGTTTAACTGCCAGGAATACCACTGAACATTCCGCAACTACTTGGCAATTATCCAGAGTACCCTGATACCCATGCTCCTGACTTTAGCCAACCCTCCTTCACTTCGTGCACTGGCTATGATGTTTTCTACTGCCACTGTGCCACTGGCAATCATTCCACCCGCTATTGCTTGACACATGTTGCCCGCTCCAAGGAATCCTATCTTCATGTCCACCGACATGCTTGTACAATGAGGGCTGATTACCTTTGAAAATATCATTAAGATTGACAGTTATTTGAATCAATTATTGAACGGGACTAGCATTGTTCAATAAGATTTAACAGCTGTGTAGAGTATATATATATAATATAATACAAATATTAGTAATTCTTCACTATTGCAGTGGAAGTGAGAGTGACTCTAACAACTTATTAATTGATTTTGAATTTAACCTAGTATGTCAAACAATACGTATTGCGATGCCTATTCTTGAACTTACAAATTACAAAACTTCATTACTTGGTATCTATAAATATGTATATATATGCAGTGCTGCAGTAGCTGTATAGTGTATAATTCATAAAGGTATCAATGCGTACTTTGAATTGCACAGTATTAAATCCAATATTGATTTTAGATCAAATTGCATGATTTGATCAAACAATTTTTTAAAGATTTGACAGTTCACTAGCTGACAATGCGGTATTCTTGGTTTATATTTCATGGAAACATTGAATACTCAACTGAACGTTTCAAATTGAAAAATAAATTAAATGATCAACACGATGTAATTGCTTCATTTAGATGTCAGTAAGCTTAATAAATTTATATTCATCTTTAAAAATATTTATGTTCAATATTATCTGTCTTCTTTTCAAAAGGTAGCTTCAAGAGATCATCAATATAATATTCAAAAAATATTAATCAGAACTTCGATATTTTGACTTTTTGACAAGTGATTGGGGGACCAAATCATTATAGATTCTTAAAAGATACGATTAAATACCGTAAAAATATCAAAATTTCACATGATTTCAAATGAGCTTAATAGAATAGAGCTTGCTGCTCAATATACCAGCATCCTTCCACCAATACCGGTCACGTGATACATCTAACAATCATACTTAATCCACACATGCAAGCTCCTGTAACTGTGCCAAAAATAATCTCGGTACCAATAATAGCGTAACAAACCATGTCATTTACCTTTGGTACCTACTACCTATAAACATCAAACATTAACAATATCAAAATATAAGAAAAGGCCTCTATCCAATACCTATTACACTTTGCCTAAAATCAACATACCTACCGAAATCGTTGGATCTATCTAACCCACTAAAATCTTAAAATATTATTGACCACGCCGTACCAATAATCATTTAAAACCTAGATATAACATTGCAGGGCTATATAAACAATAATCTATCATAAACCTTGATGATCACGTGTGTGCTTTTGACGATATTCAAACAGAGACAGAGACACCACAGATTTCTTGTGTCCCCGATAGTTCCTTTTAATGGTCCAGTCCCGTAGGCTCCACATCTGTACAACTCCGTCACTGGAGGACACAAACAAAAACTGACTGTCAAATGAAAATTGTAGACACCAAATCCACTTCAACTTCGAGTCACAAAGGGTGTTTAGCTCAAAAATATTGTTCTCTTCAAGCCTAAACAATCGGATCTTTGCATCTGAACCTCCAGTTGCTAAAAACTGCCCATCAGGAGATAAAACACAACAGAGACCAAACTTTTCGTGCACCTTTCTGTCTGTCCACTCACCATTATAATGAGATAGCAAATGTCCTGTATTTGTCATAGCGACAACTCTCAAAGTGTGTTTATCAACATAGCAGTCTATTGACTGAATTCCCAATGCCTTTTTGTGAAGCAGTTTTGTTACCCGGTCATCTGAAACATTTAACCCTAATATGTAACCTGACTGAGTTCCGACAACTGCATTAAAATCAGGATGTTTGGTTGTCAAGCAGTTGATGACTCCGTATAGGGAGCAATTCACCTCTCTTGTCTGCTTTAGGTTTCGTCTTGGAAATTGCCACAGTCTACAATAACCATCTTCTCCACCTGTGATATAAAACAAATGATCAGGTCCCATATGTAGCTGGAAATCACGGTCACTACTTTGATGAGGTTTTTGAAAATCATCAAACTGTAATATAAATAAAAATAAAGTTACCTGTAATTAAGCTTGTGTTATCTGTCGTTGCGAAATTGACACATGTGATATTTTTGCTGTTTGAATCAGAATTGTTGCTCATATTGGTAAGAGGCCTGTTGGAGTGGACATCATACACTTTGATTACTTCATATCCCGTCACTGCTAACAGTCTGCCGTCTCCAGAAAATTTAAGGCAGTTAACCTGCGATAAATTAAGTAAATTAAATTACTATATACTGATCCTAAATGTTTGCATTATTTGTAATTAATCAATAGTCTATTCTAGTTACCGGGAACTATACAAGGTTATATTTCTATTTCAAAGTAGAATTTAAATTTATAGACCAAACTTACTTGTGAATCAATCTGTGGATCAAGGTCATACTCTTTGTAAATGTCCCCTGTCTCTGGATGCCATATGTATATTTTGTCATCTAATCCAGCAGTTGCCAGTAAAGCTGATGGATATTTTGGCTCCTGATCAGGGCTTCCTTCCATGTCTCTACCATACATAGTAGTTGAACCCAATTCTCGTAGGTTCCTCATAGTTTTACCTTTTACAGTGGTGTCATAATTCATTACTAATGATTTTCTAGCAAAGTTAATGTTAGGAAGGCAGAGAACTTATTGCATCATTACAATTTTGAACAAGAAGCAAAAATACAGCGCTTTCTTCAAACCAACAATATTGAAATCAATGACTGGTCATGTCCCACAAATTATTAATTCTATTCACAGTACAATCAAATGATGAAGTAGTTCGCTGTTTATTAGTCTCAGGATTGAAATACTGATAGTTGGGTAATATCCGGTTGGAAGAGATAAGGACAAATGAAACAGGAAGTTAGGAATGTAGGCAAGCAGATCAGGTCTTAATCTGGTTTCATCCAATAGATGTAGTAAGAGTGTGACAAAGGTCAAGAATCTTCAGTGTTCTTTTCTTCCAGAGCGGGTTGTTCCTTATTGGAACAAACTCCCTTCGGAGGTGAAGAACTGCTTGACAGTTTTGAGTTTTAAAATTGGATTGGAAAGTTTTAAAAAGAAAATGATTTCTAAATGTATTGTAAATGACTTTCATTTTTGGAATGTTTCGAAAGAAGTTTTAACAAGAATTGAAGGTACCAGTTATATCAGTAATAAGGAAAAACACAACGATTATCTGTGGTTCCATCCTTATGTAGCAAAGAAACGTTTTATAAATCTTTACTCCACTGGGAAGTATGAATAAATTAAATTTTGTAATGTTGTTTTTATTCATGATTGATATTTGATAAATTGTTACCTTTAAATTTGATGGAGAAATAGTTATTTTTCCATGTAGTGTGATGATACTTTGTAGACATTAGTGATGATGTTATGTCATAATTTTTACTTTACTTTTACTTTTAGGCAAATTTTCGATTAAAATTAACTTGTTTCATTTGGCCTTGTCTCTTCCAACCGGATATTACCCAACTATCAGTACAATCAAACTATAGGATACATCAAAAACGTCTTCAACATGTGGCATGGTGTCAATTGACTCACAAGATATAATAACAATTTAGCACTTCCTTCACGATAGACAGACAAACCCAACATGGAGAAACCTTCACAATTAAACTAAAATAAAAATAATCAGCCTTATATTAAAAAGGACTTTGAGGGGGTCTGTAGTCCCCCGCATAGTATGTTTGTGTTTCACTGACTTGTAAACTGAAGACGTAAATACACCCCTCACATTATAATTTTGTATGGCTGGTACTTAGGACTATAAGCTCTAATGAAGTGGGAGAACTGTCAGTGATAGTCCACCCAGCCACCTGTTGGATTGAGTCTCTCTTTGTTGAGCTTCCCTGACGTGATCATACCACTCCCTTTACCGACCCTATGGACTTACACTGTTGCAATATATAACACCTTACTTACTTACTTATCATCTCATTGCTTTGTCACAGGTGATAAACAATAAAGCCAGGGACTTCAGTCACCCATCAGGCTCAAACCTTAACCTCAAGAGTCCCGTGTGGCAGGGTGCATTCTCTCTGAATCGGATGGAAAATGCTTAAACTTTATAAAACAACATAGCCTTTAGGGCCGGCTAGTTACCACTTGCTGTGAGGTGTCTCAGCTTCATGGGTTGGGGCAAAAACGCCATAATAGATTGACTGATTATGGTTCAGACTTGTTCAGACCAATCAGATCAGGTCTTAATCTGGTTTCATCCAATAGATGTAGCAAGAGTGTGACAAAGGTCAAGAATCTTCAGTGTTCTTTTCTTCCAGAGCGGGTTGTTCCTTAATGGAACAAACTCCCTTCGGAGGTGAAGAACTGCTTGACAGTTTTGAGTTTTAAAATTGGATTGGAAAGTTATAAAAAGAATATGATTTCTAAATGTATTGTAAATGACTTTCATTTTTGGAATGTTTCGAAAGAAGTTTTAACAAGAATTGAAGGTACCAGTTATATCAGTTATAAGGAAAAACACAATGATTATCTGTGGTTTCATCCTTATGTAGCAAAGAAACGTTTTATAAATCTTCACTCCACTGGGAAGTATAAATAAATTAAATTTTGTAATGTCGTTTTTATTCATGATTAATATTTGACAAATTATTACTTTTAAATTTGATGGAGGGATAATTATTTTTCCATGTAGTGTGATGATACTTTGTAGACATTAGTGATGATGTTATGTCATAATTTTTACTTTACTTTACTTTACTTTATAATCAAGAACGTCGCCACTTCGATGTGCCGCGCGCCGCGCAATATTATGTTTTCCTTTATTGAATTAACGTATAGCATGTTTTATTTAGGTTAATAAACTAAAAATTGGTGACAACTGACCATTAAGCTGTAATCATTATAATTTATATATATTTGCTTTGGTCATTGACCCAAGTTGAGAGCTAGTAGTAGTCCGCAGGGGTCCGAAAAAGCCGTACAGGCACTTGGGTCCTTATCCTTGTCAATAATCTCAATTGGATTCACTTTACACAAAACATAAACGTTTACAATTTAGACGTAGTACACATTGACACGATATTTATTAGAAAGCAAACAGTATAAAGTAATATGTGCGTGCGCGGAGCTTGAGCCGCGCCGCATTCACATAGCCATGTGCCTACGCGTACTGCGTGACGCGCTTGTTTCACAAGCCTTCGGCGGTCGCGCGCTACTGCAAGCGAGAGGGCTCTGGTTAGAGCAACGCGCCGCATAACAATTGATGCGTGTATGTAAGGGCTGGAGTACGCGTGTTTACAGATTAATGAACTGTTGCATTGTGCATTTGTGCATTGTAAATATTTAAAGTTGACGATATATGATGATTTAATAATAAATTTTACAAAGCTGGCTTTGGACTTAGGTAAAATTATAATTTATTTATTTTTTAAAAACCACGGATAGTTTTAAATTTACGTTGTCGTATAAGTATAAACAAGTTAATCCTGTTTTCAAGAATGCGCGGCTTTGGCGGCCATGCCAGTTATTGACTTATACATAAAATTGAATTTTAAATAGAAATGTGAAATATTAAAATTTAAAACTTTCAAAACGGAGGCTTATAAATATTATGATATTAATTATGATTGTAAAATAAAGGATAAAATTTTAAATTTGTTTCAGTACTAAAATTTTTTTCACTAATACTTGTTTAAATTTCTTCGAAGTAGCGCGCACGCTTTTTTGTTTCTTCTAATTGAGGTAGTAAGTGCTATGAAATAGCACGCGTTGGATTAGTTCATTAAAAATGGACAATGACAAATGACCCAATATTTAGCTTTAAACGATCACGTTTTATGGGCACAATGCAATTAGTTCAGCTGTTCACCACGCGACGATTAATAAACTTTAACGGGTGATACTCGGCGCGCATCCTGGTAGGTTATAAACCTACAAATTAAACTGGGCTAAGTCGTCCAGCCAACTTAACTGGCAGTTGTCACTCCAGGCAGTTGTCACTCCAGGTCGATTTTTTTTAGCGACTAGTAAGCCAAAGTAAAGTATAGTGTAGAAGCTTTTGTGTTTTGAGGGAAACTACCGCAATGGCATTAAGTGTCCTCCTCTTTTTAATTATTTCGGGCGATGTTAAGGAAATCGAATATTTGGGGTATTGAGAATTAAGTGGTAGAACCCACGACACCCAATTTCTACCGCGAAGAGATCCCCTTTCCAGCCTGCAGTCTCGATATCCACCAGTAACTGTTTGTATCTCTTCTCCTTTCGGGACTTCTGATCCTCGAAGTTCTCCTCGTTTCTACAGCTCAGCACTCAGCTCTATAAGGATGACTTCTGAATGTATCCGAGAAAATAACAACATTAGGTCTAAGAGCTGTATTTAGGATGTGCTGAGGGAATTGCCTGGTCTTTCAATCCAAACTTTATCTTAGGGGCTACGTTGTTCACCTCCCGCAACTTCTCAACAATTTGTTGCAGGATAACTCTGAGCAATTGATCGTGTCTCCAGTCGTATCTTCCTTGCTTTAGGGATATTGGGCAGCAAGTTAAGATGTGCTTTAAATTGCATTGCTGGCGTCCACACTGGGGACAGTTGTTCGAAGAGCTGTAGTTCCACAGCTGGAGGGTGCTAGGATCGCTCGCAACATCATGGATGGCGTTTAGGCGGAACTTTGTCCTTTCAGGGCTCAAGGTATACATCAGGCTTTGCCAGTCAGTATCCATCTGCATGGTGTTCTCCCAGGTCAGGAACTTTCCTTGGACTCTCTTGTCATAAAGGGTATGTAAGAGTTCCTCTTCTTTCAGAGACTGGATAATTTCTACCAGCTGCTCCCTCTTATTCTTCTTCTTCCTCTTGTCTCAGAATCTGATTCCAACTCCCTCCTTCCTTTGCCTGAATGTAGCCAAGCAGCTCGTTAGACTAGAGATCTCTCTCCCTATCGGTCAACTCCTTGGTGTAATCCCATCTTTTCTTGTTCTTGTTGGTGTTTTCTCTGTGTTCAAACACCTCCCCAACTTTTGTATCCACAGATGTCTTTACCATGTGGGCTTTAGACACCTGCAAACATTTAAACAAGTTGAAAATAATAATCATGACACAATTATTAGGAGTTGTTTGATGGTGCCAAACTTTGTCATGGAGTGCTCAGAGGAAGCAAAACTGGGGTAGTACACTGACCATATGCTCCTTGCTATTTTGTTTTATTGCAAACTTAGTTTTTATTGAAAATAAATGCCCTGGTTTTGAAGTTTTTTAATGATTGAATATCTAAGAGAATGTTCACAAATTACCTAACCTAGATGTTGTCCTTTTTCCTTGCAAACTCTTCGTGTCAATTGACACCTGCTGCAGTGAAATTTCAAGACCAACTGAAAATCTACAGTAGACTGATATTGCACAATTTTTGATGACGTCACCTTATCCGTGGTTTAGCTGACTAGTTAGCATATGCGCCCCAGCACCTTCATGGCAAATATCGTCACTAGAGGCCACCTGGCCTCAAAACTCTTATGCTTAAGGTATTGGAGATTTAAACACCTCATTCTCCACCTTGTTTTACTGATTGTGTTCATCCTCTTCGTTCAGGCCCCTGATAAATCCCAGCTGACCATATCATTAAAGATGTTTCTCTGGTAGATCAGAGTGAACAGCACTCAGATCTTTAAATTTAGAGTTGTATATTAGGTACCATCAGAACAAATGAGAAGCAATGTTTAATGTTTTAATGTGTCATCTGCCTCATGAAGTCGTTACTCTAGTTATTCTATAATTTATATTATAGATATGTGATCACAGATACATTGGCTCTTTGTTCAACTTCTTATTCTTCTCACAGCAGACCACTAAACTTTTACCTGCTAATACTCGAGGAAATTAGCTCCATCACTTGAACTTGGCTGCAAAACACAATGGGAGTATTTTTGCTTCTTTCCAAATTTACTGTGGCTTTTTTTACAGAGCAGAAAAATAGTTCATTATGAGCTTCCACATGGCTTTTGCTAATGAGGTAAATTTGCAAATTATTACATTCTATTATTCACAAGAAAGTTTTTCTGTGAGGAGAGAAGGAGGAGCTCAGCATTCTTACGTTTCAGCTTCAGGACCTCTTTGAGTTATCGTGCCTCTCCCATGAAACTTAAACTTCCTCATTCCGCCACATAGATTATAGAACACCACCTGTATCATGATGCTTCAAAAACTATTCCTAAAAGTTGTGCCATGTAACAGTACATATCTAAATTGTCATGCTTGACATATTCATGCAAGCTCGTCCGATTGTTCCTGTAATATTCGACTTACAGGTTTTTATTCACATGCACTTTGACACAGCAATATAAACTGTATGTGCATAAATCAATAAAGTTGTTTAACATTTGTACATATTTTGGATAGCATTGTATTACATTAAATGACAATAAAACTGGTGGTAATTTTTACTCAACGACTCGTTTACCTATCTGAGTATAACATAGGTAATATAATAATTGCAAAGATAACCAACCCTTCCCTTATATAGGTTAATAGTATAATGACTGAATCCAGTACCGAATGTATCACTCCGAGTAACGATTCCAAGAGGAGGCTTGAGTTCTCCCCCTTGTGTTCAAGAAGTCGTTCAGAAGGCAACATCTTATACCCGCTCGCTAAACGACCTAATCGCAAAAGCTTCATAGAGATGCTCGATTCGGTGAGTTATTAAGATTGCTGAGAATAAAGTACTATAAAATAACGAAATCTGGACGGTGCTAAATGACATACTGTTTCGTAATTTACCCTAATTTCGTGCAATGAGGTAAGCCATATTTTCTAGACCTAAACCATAACATGTGATCTGTTTCAGGTGAGCGATGATGCTAAGAACCCAGAGAAGATCAAAGCGAGACAGATGCAACAGAAGAAGACCCATTTAGCAAAGTCAATGTTAGAGTTGCGATGCAGAAGAGTCCTGCCCATGTTAATGAGGAGGAAGAAGATTATTAATAAAGCTGAGAATAAGAGCAAGCTTACAACTGATGTCAGTGAAAATGGTAAGAGTTACAAGTCACAATGTAATATTATATTAGGAAGCATGTTTTGTTTATTTCAGTACTTTCAGAACTTTATAGCAGTCTATCTTCAACTCAGCCCTGTGTCCAATACTATTGCTTACTCAGTATAATAGGTAATCCGTGCCCGTATAAAGTTTCTGAACCCTAAAGAAAAAAGGCTTTCAGAATGTCCCTCAACACCCTGCCTCCCTCCCTCCCTAATTAACTGGAGATGATTTAGTCAGTCATTAGCTAACTACCACCAAACTACCAACAAACTGTCACATGGCAAAGTCTTGCAAACAGTCACCACCTAAACTAAACTCGTCACCTTAACTAAACTCGTCACCTAAGCTAACACCCCCTCTCAGGAGAGGAGGACAAGGAGAACAAGCCGCAGCTTCTGGAGACTCTTTCTGACAAAGTGAAGGTTATTTCAACACATTTTAACTTACTTTTTACTGATTACTTAACTAATTATTTAATTTGGAGATGTTCAATATTGAGGTGATCTTTTAACAAGGATTTATCAGAGATGGTGTAATCCTAAAATTACCAACGCTATTATACAGAGTTACAGTTAATTAAAATTACAGTTAATTAAAATGTTGTAATCTCCATCATGAAATTAACAACACATTTCCTGTCAGGTGATGAGAATGCAGGATAACTGCTCCAAGAGTACACGTAACAGTCTCATCGTCATCCTGTGATACCTCCCCAGATAGACTTTAATTACAATTAAATAGTCGTAATTAATTATAATCACGAACATTTATTATGATTAATTATCATAAATGTGATTATTAGCGATTATAGTTATGATAATCAGGTGTGACCTTGATAAAATGTTTGATAATTTTTAAACTGTTGGGATATGGTTATCTTTTAAATTTGGACGTTATCCAAAATTCGTTAAAATCATTTAATATACGTTAATGATAAGTCAGTTTGATAACTTAATAACTTCTTATATAGGATAATTCCTTTGATTGACTCTTGTCCAGGACTTTGAACCTTGATTAATTTATGGTGTGGAATACAGACATGGACATTTGGATGGTAAACAGAAACTGTTTTGCACGTGACAGTGTCGGAGTGCTGATTGGTTCACCGCAATCACGTGTAAGAAAAATATATTTACCTCTCCATTTTAATCCAGATTCTGTGTTAGTGTTGATTATGGGCTGGGTTGACATGTCATATTATGAGTCATTTTGAGCTATAGACAATAATGTGAGTTTTGATTTTTATAACTTTTGTTGTATTAATGAGTTGTGTGGTATATTGACGTGTAGTCGTGTCAACTGGTGTGTGTAGCTCTAAATCCTATAGAATCTTCTAGAACAAACCCAGTACTGTTAACTTATTATAATTATGCTAATTATGCTAATTATATTTCTGCTCTATCGCTTATAATAGGGCTGTTTTTATCGGCGATTTTTAAATTTTGTGCACTGTTTATATTTATAATCATTTGGAATTTCTATTAAGTTATATGAAGTTAAAGTTATTACTACCATATTATATGGTCCATATAATATCAAATCTTGTGTTTCAGTTGACTGCCACTCTCCCATCTATCATCAGCTCTCTCTTTCTATTTGTAAACTTCAGCAACGGTTAAAATTCCCGCCAAAACTATATATTCAAAATAATCCGGGTAAGATAATGGGTTATCTGACAATACACATGAAATTGAAGTATACGGACATTAGCCGACCTTTCAACTGATTATAATCAAAGTTAATTATAATAATGTATAGAGCGAGATTATCATAAAACTCATGTTTAAATAAAGTCTGTGATTTGTCGAGGGCAGTGAAAACTCTGTCCTAATCTAGTTTGGCAGTCAATGTGACCTACTGAAGAGATTAACATCCAACTCGATCCATAACCAAATTATGGGGATTTGATTAAACAATGAAAAGACCGTTACAAATCATTAAACGCGGGATCACGCCAGGGGCTACTACCTACTCGCGATTCAATTAACCAAGACTCTTTCTCTGTATCACGTGACTCTTTCTCCGAATCACGTGACCCAATCAGGTGGCACCCTCACTAGAAGTCATTAGTCACGTGACACAACTCTCACTCTTTACCTCACAGAACCCGCCAAACTCTCTCTCTTGTACTACCTTTCAAGTTCCAATAAGTAGACACGTACACACTGTACGAGAGTACATTGTTAACAAATCTGCCGCCCAATCTAAACACCATATTATTTACAATTCCAGACCGCAATACCGCACATATTATGATACGCATAGTAGCCAGCTGCCTTATTGCGCAACTCCTCTGAAATACACATCACTCCTCTGAGATACACTGCACAACTCCAGATTTATTGTAGAGGGGAGGTAGTTAACTTAGTCTGATTTGATTGAACTAGATATTTTGGCCAGAGTAAGGATTTAGGAATTTAACCGCACCTCCTGTAGATAGCTGGATTTATAGTACAGAATTTTAACTGTGCTCTCTGGGTAAGCAAACAGTTTAATAGACACAGAGTATAATGAGGACATTAATACCGTTATTATAAGGTTATCATGAAGTCTCACGGTAAATGGGGTTTAGTGAAAGTAGACATATTCCACAGACAGACATGTACTGCAAGTTATTATTATTATTACAACACTAGCGTGGTGTATCATAGCCCACTTCCTTGTTCTTTTAGTGCGGGAATGTTTAAATAAATTATCATTTACACTCCCTCCAACTTTTGGCGCTCTCTCTCTCTCTCTCTCTCTCTCTCTCTTGACTGGCTGACTAGGGTTTCAAACGCACACAGGTCACTTACCATGCATGTACAGTATGACTCAACAAGTGTTTACTAAGTGTTCACAAACAATTTGTCTGGGTACACTGGGTCGAGAGTTGTACAGGTGGGGACTTTAGGTCTCATTTTCTAGTCACGTGATATATCTTTAGGTCTCATTTTCTGGTCACGTGATATATCTTTAGGTCTCATTTTCTAGTCACATGATATATCTTTAGGTCTCATTTTCTAGTCACATGATATATCTTTAGGTCTCATTTTCTAGTCACGTGATAAATCTTTAGGTCTCATTTTCTAGTCACGTGATAAATCTTTAGGTCTCATTTTCTGGTCACGTGATATATCTTTAGGTCTCATTTTCTAGTCACATGATATATCTTTAGGTCTCATTTTCTAGTCACATGATATATCTTTAGGTCTCATTTTCTAGTCACGTGATAAATCTTTAGGTCTCATTTTGTAGTCACGTGATAAATCGTCGACAATCCTCCTAGGTTTGATCTTAACACGTCTGTTTAAAGGGTTATCTTTACTAAGTAAAGTTTAGGTTACTACTTGAATAATGTTCCGTAAACTCAACACTTGCATCTGACATGGAAGGAAGTTGGATTTTAACTTAAATTTAAAACCATATGTTGTAGACCGTTGTACACAGGTGACAGGTGTAATGATTGCAACAGGGTTATCTGGTGCAGCCAAGGATTATCGAACATGGCGTATTTATAGGGATGACTAATCAGCATTACAGTTGGATTAGTGAAGTCAGGGGCTCTAAATGTTGTTTTAATTCTTATGGTTAGTGGATAGAGGATATATGTAGCATTAGATTGTAACATGCTGTCATAATAAGCATGAGAACATCATTATCCCGTCAGTCTAAAAGTCAACCATTTTCCTTGTTCACCAAATTACATTAGATTGGTACAAAATATGAACCGTCGAGCTCAGTCTCATTTAGTGTTGATGATTGATGGCCTTTAGGGTGATCTCAAGTGAGGATATCTTGTGGCGCCCAATTTGAATCCGGTACCGAATGACGCTGCAATGCGCCCAACATGGAACGCGCAGTATCCAAACATAATTTTAAAAAGAAAAGGTTTCTACAGTCCGTACAGGAAGAAGCACGTTTATTGCGCGCGCAGGCGGGATTTCCTCATAAGCGCATCTTATTTAATTGGCCCGCCCAAATTTTGGCGGTATGTACCTGCGATAAATTTCGACAATATTAGTGTACCACCAAGTATACCAATAATATGACGTAGATGTACCACATCAATCTGCCATGCACATGTCATCGAATGAATAAATGATCGAGTTGTGAAAGGACTGCATGATGCTATACTTCATACACGGATACAGTGCAGTGTGCACCCGAAATGCTGATTCATCGATACTAGACAGGGTAATTTTACGCCGATGAGAAGTGAAGTGCCAGTAAAGATAGGTTACCATGTGGTTGATATTCCTGATGAAACTTTACTAAAATCAGCTACCAGGCAAGAGAATTTGCTGAAAAATTGTTCTTACTTTTCTTATTTAACTTTAATTCCAGTTAGAGTTTAAGGAGGTTCATTAATATGTAAATATGTATTATTAATGTATGCAAATTACAACAAAGGAAAACCAATACATTAATGTAAACAATACGCGGACATTAAAAACACAGCATCAATATATAATAGCATAAGAAATTATCACTTTAAAACTTAAAGGTATTTACATAACTGAAATCTTAAATTACTACACTTATATATCACTTACCGTTATCAATTATATCATGCAGACAGCAGAACTAGGGTTAATTATAAGTGGGAGGTTATTATATTTTGTTTAAAAGCTAACAACAATCTCAACAATCATTTAAAGCAAGCGGCCATTTAGTGCAAGTGTACTCATCCTAATTTGATAGGTAAGAACATCAAAGTGAACTTTAAAAATACAATATAAAATCCACACAAGACGGCAAATCTTCATTACATCCAATCTAAAAACATCTTTTTTATCTTGAGAACAAACAATGTACAAAAATGATTACTGTTAAAAATCACGTTCAAATAGAAATCCAACTGATAAAAAGAAGGCAGTGCTTATTGAATGGTAGTATTGTTCTATTCTTGATATCCCATAATGGTGCGCTGGCACTAATTCCTCCTCCTTCAATCACTGACACAGAGAATCAAATCTTTGCTCTGTCAGCGACAGGTCACTGGAAGAGTTCTCGCTTGCAATTTCATTTCTGCATAGACCGCCTAAGACTTGATAAACACAGTTAAACAGACCGCCTAAAACGTTTCTTGTTACTGTTTTTTGGGCGGCCTGAGACCGTACCAATCGGGAAAGTGTTTCTGCTTCTCTGCTATTACCAAATAAACGATACATATTGGGATATTTCACCTATTTATGTGTTACCACTGTACATAGATTGTCTTCTTTTAGAATCCACGTAATCGTCCATCTTATTCCTCAAAGTCATGTGGAACCCGTGAACCACCTCAACTAAACTTGATGTTATCACCTGACACAAAATGAGAGTGTGAGAAAAACTGTTCTAAATTGTGAGAGATTGTTTCATTGTTTAGAATCATTGGTCGGTAAGTATTTTACGTCAATCTTAAAGTTAAGGTAGATGGTTTCGTGTAGGAAAGAAATGGAACAAATGGCTGCAACTTTTATAAACGTATGATAAATATAATATTTCCTGCCGTCCAGAATCTTTCCAACGTTAACCATGGTAGGAAATGCCTGGTTAGTCAAAAGTGACAAATGTCCATATTCTTAGCCGCTAAACATTTTAGCTCCTCGCTATATAATATCCACCTCCCCCCTTGGATACATCAAGGAAACAATCCATATAAAAGTGTAAATTACCGACAGCAGTAAAACAACACTAGTTAATAATGACAAAACATGTGTAATGAGATGCTGAGTAAAAGTTAAAACTGGTGCAAACCTTTTGAGGTACAAGAGGGAGCTTCAGGTCGCAGTTGATAACATAAGTGAGCTTAACGGAGCCATCCAGGGCTGGGAAGAAAACATAGCCGCAGGGCCCGTTAAATCCTCTGCAAATAAACAAAGTTAGCGGCTAACAAGCTAGATATAAAGTGGAATATTTGAATATCTGAACATGTTGAAGGTCATATTATTTGAGAGAAAAGTCCCTCACAAGTGAACAGAACTCGGGATCATCTTACCTTGGGAATTTGGATGGTGGTTTTATAGGATCGTTGACGTCCCTACTGACTATAAAATACATGTCACGTTCCTTCGACCAATATCGTAACGTCAGGAAATCTCTGAAATTTAGTTCACAATAAGATTATTTAATTTAAAATTGGTTTTGCGGAGGATAAAGTACTTATTAGGTGCTAAATGTTACTTTCCTGTCAGGTGTATAAGTGTGAAGTTCGGTTGTGTTTTTCACAGATCACATTAATATGAAGTTTGGATCACTTTACCAATACCATTTGACTCTGTACATGTGTCGGAATCTTGAAGTGATGTTCATTATTAGACTTGCCTCGTTCCACTGAATATTATTACTAAAACATATATATAAGCTTCAGAGCAAGACCTCTCTACCTATATATTTAAAAACCCCCAACAATCAACATGAGAGCCGCTGTTTTTCGCTGCTCAGAAGGGCATCTGGATCGTTTAACAAGTTCAAAATCACGGACCGTACTGATTTAGTATCCGCGCTATCTAATTGGAATCACGGACCATAACTGCAACTATCCTCAGATAAATACGGATGGTGGTGATTGCTAAGTTACCGGGATAATTTACAGCACTAAGTCTTTAAAATGTTATGAAATTAATCATAAATCCCGTCTCTCTCTGATCTCTCTCTCTTACAAAAGTATGCACAATATATTGTTGACTTCTCCCTAGTCCCAACATACTGGAATGCTAAATATTTGTATTCTCTATAAACGGTTCCAGGAGGACCAGGACCCAGGTGCTATCACTTATCTGACTTCTGGATCCAAGGCAACTGGACCACCCTTATGTTAACTTGCTGAACATCAGATGAACAAGATAATTCTAACAAGGATGAAATTACGAGGTGGAAGATTTCGATAAATGTCAAGATTTTAACAACTAAATGATACACCTGGTCAACACCTGGTCAACCCACGTTCCGCTCGGAAATAGTTCGACATTTTTTCGTAGTTTTCTGTTTCTGCTGCTCTACGTAACAGTGTCTGTGAAGCAGTGATTTTTTGAACTTGGTATAATTTGGTCTCTACATGATTGAAGGTGTTGAAGATAGTGGACGTGTGTGATTGAAGGTGTTGAAGATAGTGGACGTGTGTGATTGAAGGTGTTGAAGATAGTGGACGTGTGTGATTGAAGGTGTTGAAGATAGTGGACGTGTGTGATTGAAGGTGTTGAAGATAGTGGACGTGTGTGATTGAAGGTGTTGAAGATAGTGGACGTGTGTGATTGAAGGTGTTGAAGATAGTGGACGTGTGTGATTGAAGGTGTTGAAGATAGTGGACGTGTGTGATTGAAGGTGTTGAAGATAGTGGACGTGTGTGATTGAAGGTGTTGAAGATAGTGGACGTGTGTGACTGAAGGTGTTGAAGATAGTGGACGTGTGTGATTGAAGGTGTTGAAGATAGTGGACGTGTGTGACTGATGTTGTTCAGAACGTTATTCTCTTGGAGTCTCATTCTGTTAAACACGTCAGGTAACCAACATACAATGACTACGATTGTTGCTCAACTCCTTTCCATCTTGACATTTAGATATTCAACCTCTCGCCAGAAATGATTCAATTTGATTTTACTGTCAAAAAACTGACAAATTCAACCAAAAATCCCCCAGGTTGAAAGGTTTTGGGACAGCAAAGTTTGTGAAATATTTTCTAAACACATATTATCCCCAGCTACAAAGCCTGCGTTTAGAACAGTAAGCGGAGTTTCCTCCCAAGTAAGCGGAGTTTCCTTCCAAGTCTCCAAAACCTGGGATGAAGAACACTACAACAGCACACATCTCATAGACAGGGACTTCAGCACTGTAGCTATTGCTACCACTACACTCAGGATCAAGATAATACAGTGTGGTTTAAAGTGAGCCTAAAGAAGAAGTACAATGTAGAGAATGTGTACGTTTATCAGTCACGTGACATTCAGTATCTAGGAGAGGGGTTTTGTGGGGAGATTGGTGAAGATAGGAGGTGTTTATGTGAACCGGAAGCAGATGAGTGTAGAGGTTTGTTTTCTTTTACTAATTAATTATTTACTAATTATTTACTAATTAATTATCTATGGATCATTGGATCATCATCACATTTTAATTTTGAGTGGCCTGTGGAAACATCATAATATGTCGTGTGACGTTTTTTCTGCTTCATGCGACGTAAATTTTAGATTTAGTATTAAGTTGATTTCTGACTAAAACAACCTGGGTTTGGAAGTAAATTTGGTCGGGGATAGATCATGCGGCTTCAGTAACCCTATTGGAGATAAAGAAGATAACAACTTAATCGTGTACAAATGGGATTGTACGTCTAGTGGAATAATGTCAGGTGACATTCACATTATCTCGAACAAAGGGAAGCCAATCTCAATCAGTGAGGTAGAGGTTACTACTACTGACCATGTAGGTTAGTCACATTTGACAGTTACCAGCTGGACTGAAATTCAAATTAAGTTATGATTTTATTTTGATGAATGTTATTGACAAAGTGAGAGTCTCCACTCAGTGTTGTAAAAACAAAATTATTTGTCGACGACATAAGAGCGAAAAAATATTATCATTAAGTTATGATTTGTAGAGAATTTGTTTTTACCAACTTTTTAATCTAAAAAGGTATTTCACGTTAAGTTAGAATTTACACCATGATTGGCAGCAAAATATATCAACCTTAACATTTTAATGTCAACCACAGCCGGATGCGCAGACCTACGAATAGAGTTTAACAACCTGAACTTTAAACCCCCAAACTCATGGGTAGATCACGGAATACCAATCACATTCCTCTCTTGTTCGCAAAATGGTCACGTGTTACTAGGAGCGAGCTCAGCTCTATGTGATGACGGGGTGGTCAGATACAGCGGAGATAAACCTACCTGTGTTCCTGAAGAGCAAACAGGTGTGTTGAGACGCTATTAAAATTAGTAAATAACACAGATTCTGTGAGATGACCGCTAAACCATAAAAACAGATGTGATAACTTCATTGTTCAAAACAATGTGAAGACGAAGGAAGCTGGAACAAGGCCTTGAAGATGACACCACAGTTACCAGTAAACAAAAAATTCCAGAGTGGAACTAAGCCACACTGTCTAGGTTTGTATTCACTATTTTGTAGATACAAACCTAGATATTCGTTATTTTGTACATGTAGATATGATGCCAACAATTTGTAGCATTTAGAGCTGGCTGGAATCTAATATAGCAGGAAGTTAAGGCATTAGACACTTAAATATCCAGGTTTAATATAACCTAGATAGATGTGCAGATGTTTGTGCGGAGTTAGAGGGTTGTAGTAGCAGGGTGGTAACCCTCCCACCACTACCAGTACCACACGGTACACCAGTCACCTTCTCTTGTAGTAGCAGGGTGGTAACCCTCCCACCACTACCAGTACCACACGGTACACCAGTCACATTCTCCTGTCCCGGTACCAGTACCACACGGTACACCAGTCACATTCTCCTGTCCCGGTACCAGTACCACACGGTACACCAGTCACATTCTTCTGTCTCGGTACCAGTACCACACGGTACACCAGTCACATTCTCCGGTACCAGTACCACACGGTACACCAGTCACATTCTCCTGTCCCGGTACCTTACTGGGGGCTAGAACTGGTACCTGCTCTAATGGCACTGTAGCTATCGTGGAACACTACCCATTTTGTGTAGGTTCGTAACAAGTAATGTATAGTGGCAGATATTGTACCCTATACAATATCTGCATCTGTACAATATACATTGTACAATGTACATGACAGTAATGTTTACAATTGTGGTTACTTTGGTCAAACATATGGGAATGTGTTTCGGCAATTGTTATCCATATATTTTCATGTTTGACAAATGATATTCATGATTGTTAAAACTATCAAACTAAAACTTTAACCTAACAAACTAAAACTTTAAACTAACAAAGTGAAAGTTTAAACTAACAAAGTGAAAGTTTAACCTAACAAAGCCTGCACTAAAAGTTACCTGCTCTTGATGAGACCAGCACCGCCTCCCACCCCGACAGTGTAGAGCAAATCTAGGTGTTGGGTGAACCTCTCCAACATCTGTACCTCTAGTATACTACTGTTCCACTCACTGACACTGTCCATCTGATGGTACAACACCTGAAGTATATAACCAGGTGAGGTTGTATTTTAAACCATTCTTTAATCGGATAGTCGTCTAATACAAACTTGTCTTATACATTCATGGTAATCCTAATCTTGTCTAACTTGTTTATATTAATTTGTTTAATCCCCTCTGATCACCCCTCTTCCTTACCTCAAACAAGTCCTCTAGAGAACAAAGAAAGTGGCTCTCACTGAGAAATAGTCTGTTTGGAGCTCTCCTTTGTGCTCTACTGAATACTTTTATACCGTCCTGCGAGAGAGAGAGAGAGGGAATAATTTATTGTATAATTATACAATAAATACATTTATACTTTTATATATATTATCATTTATTATTATGACTATGATACTCTAGTAGGATTGTATTATTCTCTAGACAGTGAAGTTGTGAAAAACTAGGGTCGCTCTATCTTGCCATTCTACCCAGCAAATATTTTCACAATATTACTATGCGGAATTATCATTTATCATGCGAATAAGCAGGAATGTTTAGCACAGAAAACCTGTACAATTAAATAATTAAGACCGTGTTTACCTTGTCTAGCTCAGTTGTCCACCCATCTGGCCAGAGGACTGTTTCTTTTAACTCTGAGTGTGCTTCTAACGCAACATTATACATCATCTGACCCTGCGGAAATACATAATATTGATTTTCATAATCTTATTAACATTCAATTATTATTAAAATTATTACTTATTTCAGTTGAATTATCGCCTATCATTACAGTTATTACTTACTTGTACACGCTTAACAAGGTTTCTCAAGAAAGGCTCGGAAATTTGAACGATTACTATGGTCAGAATGTATGTGAACGTAGTAGAACATAATAATATACTACGATTTGGCACGACTATTACTATGAATGTATGATGAAACGTAGGTAGAACATAATAATATAACTACATATTTGCACGATTACTATGAATGTATGATGAAACGTAGGTAGAACATAATAATATAACTACATATTTGCACGATTACTATGAATGTATGATGAAACGTAGGTAGAACATAATAATATAACTACATATTCACCACTACAACTTTCTGTCAATTTACAGCCTGCTCTGGTTCATATATCAAGATAAAAGTCACTGCAAAACAACTTGATCTATATAAAGAGAACCTCTGAATTTTTTCGAAGAAAAATTCTGATTAAAAATTAACACTTCCGACTTGATTTCGCATAAAATTGACCTATCCAAGATAGTGCCAAGAAATGCTAACTACAATCATCAAACAAATCTGATGTTAACGAGTGCAACCATTCCCAACTCACAATGATATTGGCTAAGACCTCTGGTGAGAATTTAAATTCTGAACAATTTATCACTGGAATCGGAAGAAGTTCGCGTCTGAAACGACTAAATCTGAGTTAACTATATTTCTACTTAACGACTTCAAAACTGAGTGAGTGGCAATATCATCGACTCAACCACAGAAGTAGAAATACATAAATGACACAATATTTAATAAAAGTGTCGATATAGCTACATATATATAACGTCGCATAACTACTCCCCCTCTTTCGTAGATAAGCAAGCATTTCACTGCCGCTAAATTCTTTTTCCATACATTAATCTCAATCGCGCACTCCATAATTACTGTAGCGCTGAGTTACCGGCCAAAATCATTAATCACTGATGGTAAAATTTTGGACAAAATTTTAAAAACAATAGTCCAAGCTGTTCAGTGCAAGTCTAAACTTCTTAACCTATAGGATCGATATTATGGATGTGTAATATCATGTGTAGCGTGAAGCGTTGTGTTTTTTAAATCTGTAGTTCATAGTACTTCATGACATGATCACAGGTACTTTTTGATAACCGTGTGCAGTGCCCTTTCCAGAGGGTTTTTTAAAAAAGAATTCTTTAACGTTACTATTTTCTATCTATTACTGTTTGTATTATAATTTTGAGTAAACATTAATCGAGTAAACCGCTCGATTCCCAATCAATCTATGAAGTATGAATGTATGATGAAACGTAGGTAGAACATATAACTACATATTTGCACGATTAGACAATAACAGGGAGACTTACCCGGGGATCCAAATTGTTTGCCTCTATCTGATGTAGGTCCCCTGAAATAAATTGTAGGTTATTAATACAATTAGTATATTATAAACTCCCTGTTAGACAGGAGTCAACCTGCACCTGCAGTAGCAATGAGGTGAGAATGTTATCTCGAAAAAACCAAAGTTGACGTGCGCACGTGCACTCGCGCGAGTAACGCGACCAAATATTTTGCTCTAACCCATTTATCCTGCAGGATAATTCAGTACGTTCTGAGTGAGATTATCACGGACTTGTTACATGTCGTCATGAAGAGTTTGAAATACAAATACATTCATATTTTAGCCCCAGGTACCTCGTGTGGGACTTTATAACATTAGATTGTAACAGATTGTGTGTACAATCTAAAGCGACTAAAGTGACTCCATTTCAATCTGTTAAGAGATTGCGATCCAGCTTGACAAGTTATTCATTTGTCAAGATTCACCCTCTTTTTTTTCAAATATCAATAGTATTAAAAGTCACTGCATAATGAACTCTCTGAAAATATTTGTCGGAAGAAAATTGTTCTACATAATATGTTTTTCTTAATTTAAAATAGTAATTCTACTCTCCGATCTTTTTGGTTTGACCCTAATCATAGTTATGGGCATGTCGATCTTATCTCAATACACACAAAGATACCGAGTACAGTTACACAAATCTGATAGAACGAATAACGGCCGATGGTGCGAAAATGTGCGGTACTAGGCCAATAGTGCGATTCTACACCCACTGCACCTATACCCTATAATTGCCTCTGGTAAGCATTTTACCTGAGTTTCTGAGATTAGATTCAGGAATCACTGGGGGACAATACTTTAGGGAAAGAGGTAGGCGGGTCTGAAAGTCTGAGGCAAAGTCTGGGGTACGATTTCCTAGGGCTGAACGACAGTTACAAAACTGATTTGTGACTGGGAAATGTGTTCAGTCGTGGATCTCAGTATCAGTTTGACTTAAAATGTAACGTATGAGATAAGTATTTATCGAGTAAGAAGGATGTACGACATTAGCTAATAAAGCGTCTGAACTAACCTGTTTTCCCCGGTCTCTTTTTCGAGATGAGTTTCTTTAACATGACACATTTTAATGGCACATCGACATATTCACTACAAAGTTTATGTTCAGAGGAGATACCCAGAAAACTCGAGAGAAATATGACAATATATAGGGCATTTAAACCAAACTAGATCTGTCTGGAAATTCATAACAATGCTGCTGTACGTGTCTGTACGTGTATATTAATGGGGATATTAATTTTGTTCACAGAATAATGCCACTAAAATTAATTGCTGGCCACGACCCAGAGATCAAACAATACAAATACAAGAATGGCAAAACAATAATATTGTAAGACAGTAAGACATAACCAAAATGTAGTACGATAGCTGGATGGGCGGATGGTAGACCTTCATAATACTCCTTCACAAAACATAATACTGCACGGTAAATAAGTAATTGTGGTCATTATCGAGTCAGATGTCAAAAATCTCACGCTGAGCCATGAAATGTAGCATATTAAACATTTAAATGCAGTAAACTAACTTAGTTACTGAGTATTTAAGTGACTTTAGTTGTAAGTTCAAGGTACTTGAAGCGTTACTAAGGTCACTTTGAGATACATATAGATTCAGCGTCCACGGTGATTAACAATTCTAAGTATGTATACTGTTACGCAACAGTATTACGCAACAGGAAAAGTGATGTTTACAGCATATGGGTGTGGTTTGAGAATAACTGATAAAAACCTCAAGAAAGACTCAAGAACGACTAAAATAGACTTCAGGACTGAAGGAAAGCAATGAAAACAAGGCTATACAAATTTTTCTGAAACATATGGAGGCCGAAGTATAATCAGGTAAACAATTAAACGAAACGGGTTCTATATAAGACGCCATTAGAACTTCCCAATCAAATTTAAACCGGTTTAATAACCGGTTCCTGCAATCCGAGCCGGAATAACCGACTACAAGAGCAGACCATCTGTATCAGAGAATAACGAAGCAGGAAATGCTAATCAGTCAATCAGTGCAACAAAGCAACAAGAGCTGGTACAGTTTAATGGGGAACATGCTTTGTGTGGGGGCTGTTACAGGGTGGGATATATACTTGGGGTGGTAAAGTGGCGTATCTGTGCCGACAACAGGATTATAAAGATAATCCGAGTATTGTAAAGATAATCCGGGTATTTTGGGGTGAGTTACAAGAGTTCGGGATAATCATGAGTCGTAATGAACACAATTTAGACGAACAGTATCTCAGGAAAGTTATTAAGCCATTCTTGTAGCATATTTAACAGTGGCAAGGGCTTAATTAACAGTAGAAACAAGCTCAGCTTTACACGCGAAATGTGCATATATTGTGTGTAATATATAGCCCAACCTATAGCTACTCGAGTGAGAGCGAGGGAGATCCAGGCAGCCTACCGCCTGCCTTGTCCAGGTACAATACTCTACTAGACAATGTCAGATGCCTCTACAATGTAGAGTATACACGCCTACACACACGTACAGAGGGATTACCCCATTATACTGATGATAAGCAGGGGGATTGTGCCAATTAGCAGACTTCCTTGTCTGTTGAGGCAAACTATACATGTATAATAGCAATTTGGGGGAGGGGGAGTTATAACGCGAGCAATACGTGCAGAGACTGCAAAATAATTAGAACGTACCTGGAATACATATTGTGGTTGGACAGAGGGTACCATTTGCGATGGATTCCATGAGATGTAGTCAAATAATTCCGGTTACTGCGCCCCATATGCTGTGCTAACGACTTAACTATGCCATATTATGTTGTCTCTACTACAAATGCAACCAACTTAAGTATAATGAGGTACATAACTTAGAATTTAAAGATGCCACGCAGACTGTGGACGCCATTATTTGGCTCGTCATTATATACGCTAATCTAACAGCGCATGATAATGCGATTACACTATTAATTGCACGAGGTGCAGCCGAGTTCGATTATTGCAGTTATTTCACGAGGCGCAGCCGAGTGCAATAACTGGTGTAATCACATTATACACGCAGTTAGATTCGCGTATAACTCCACGCTCAGTTAGTTTACAATCGCACCGTCTGTGTTGCTATCAAAACAGTGAGATTATAAACTGATCGCACTGTTTTGATCGCACTACTTCCTGTAGAGCTGTAGGGGAGTGGGGACCACGTCTGAAAACGATAAATCATCAAATACTTAAACTGGGCCGAGCACAAGCTTTGAATAATGAAGAAAAATAATGATGTCTGGACTCAGAAGATTGCCACACAGTGAATCAATCTGTTAAATGTAGTTGTACCTCCCAATACGAAAACAAACAATCTACTTCCAAACGGGGCCCGTATTACAAGAGTAAGAGATAGCGGCGGGTCTCAGTGCAGTGAATACTTTGGCACGTGACGTGCATTCGCCCTAGCGTTTCGCTCATTATTTACCGTATATCATTGAGGCATATTAAAGGATTACTGATAAGGGTCACTAATGAGGAGATAAGCCCCCTGTGAGAAATCAGCCGATACTGGGCAGATATATCACAAAATCAGTGTGATTAGTTTTGTAATCGCACCGAATATGTTTTCGGAGTGCGATTTTTTCCGGTGCGAAAAAAATCGCACTCCGGTGGGGGAAAAACCGGTGCGATTATGAAAAAGACCGGTGGCTGCAATCAAGGATATAAGGTGTGAAATAGAGAGAGAGAGAGAGAGAGAGAGAGAGGGAGAGAGAGAGAGAGAGAGAGAGAGAGAGAGAGAGAGAGAGAGAGAGAGAGAGAGAGAGAGAGAGAGAGAGAGAGAGAGAGAGAGAGAGAGAGAGAGAGAGAGAGAGAGAGAGAGAGAGAGAGAGAGAGAGAGAGAGAGAGAGAGAGAGAGAGAGAGAGAGAGAGAGAGAGAGAGAGAGACTCAAGAGTGCTAATGTTATATTTAGTCATAGCTTCAGAATATATATCAAGTGGGGATAGCGGAATATAACAAAGAGCGAAATAGAGGGAGTGAAATAGAGGGTGTGAAATTGAAGAAGTGAAATGGATGTAGTGAAATGGAGGGAGTGGAATAGATGAAGTGAAATGACGGGAGTGAAATTGAAGAAGTGAAATGGATGTAGTGAAATGGAGGGAGTGAAATAGATAAAGTAAAATGATGGGTGTGAAATGGCAGGAGTGAAATAGAGGGAGTGAAATGGCGGGAGTGAAATGGAGAGTGACTACTGACTATGACCGACAATTATGCTTGTTCGAGCTAATAGATCTCCTCTTTAGTAATACGAATAAATTTATTTGTGTTTCTCTGTATAAGAACAACAATTTTTTCTCTAAAAAGGAATATAACGGATACTTATGTTTTTCTGCTGATAAACTCAAAACAGCTATTACATTTATTCTGTTTAACACTTTTGTTTGTTTTGGGGATCAGATTTTAAGACAAACGAAAGGCATTCCCATGGGAGGGAATTCTAGTAGCCAGTTCGCTGATCTTTCGCTAGGGAAGTGTGAATTCAACTACATGACACGCCTAATCAAAGAAAAGAAGTTCGGTCTCGCTAAGCTCCTCTCAAGAAACTGCAGATATGTCGACGACCTCAACACCATGAACTATTTGCATTTCTCTAACCTAATCAGGTCCATTTATCCACCTGACCTGCTTATGGAGAGGAGTGGTGACGACAATAAGTCCGTAAACTATCTCGACATCAACATCTCGATGAATAACTCCGGACACGTCGCCACCAAGCTTTACAACAAACTTGATGACTTCAACTTTCCTGTGGTCATGTACACCTTTCCTAACAGTAATATTTCCTCTTCTGTTGGTTATAATGTTTTTTACGGTCAGGTCCTTCGTTACTCTTCCATTATCTCTGACCTTGATTCTTTTCTGTGTTCTACCAACACCCTTTATAGGACACTTCTTTCAAGATGTTATAATGACAGACTCCTGAAGAGTAAATTCAGAAAGCTTCTGAAAGACCGACCTAGTATTCTGTACAAATACAGTATACTTGATGTCAGCGACATCCTTGACATCACATTTAACGTGAACAGGTGATCACTGACGAGTGATTGCTAGGGGGTCTTGGCACATTAAACCGGTACAGGTATTAAACCCCCGAAACCGGTGTGCCAAGTCATCTGCTGATGATGTTCACATAACATTATTTCCTCTCTCCTTTATTCCTTCCGTCTTTTCTTAAACTTACAGTTCAGTTACTTTATTTCACCAGGTCTACCTAAGGATCAATTATTCTTTGGTGGGGTTTCACTTCTGGTATTGGCTTCATTCCCGTTCCTTTTCCTTATTCTTTATACTTATTTTTTTTAATATAGTTTAATGAGATGTAGATATTTAGTGACGTTCTTACTAAAGAGAGAGTTTATTAACACATTTTTAACATCTATTGAACAGTTTCTCATTTACTGTAATCTTCATAAACCTTCCAATTTTTAAAGATAATAAAATCCATTCGGCCGAATTTAGAATTAATGTGTGTTACGGAAAGAGACTTTGAAAACATTCGACTGTTCATGACCCAAAGATTCGAATGTCACCTGCTTATTATTTTTTAGTATATTATTGGAATCCAGCCTGCATACCTCATCTCCAAAGGTGTAGGGTTGCACAAAAGTGGCGTGATATTTAATTCGATCCCAAACATGCGCTTTAAGATATGTGTCTAAAGGTCAAGAAAGTCAACAAAAGCTGCGTTTAGTTGTAGATTAACAAGTAAAAGTAATTGGTTCGTCAGGCAAATTGGTAAACCATCTCATCTTTCTGTTTTAGTGCGATATTTAATTGAAGTTTAGCTACCGGAAGAGAGATCCAGTCATGCGCGCCTTATTTTGCAGGGCGCGTAAGTCACGTGCTTTTGATGTTAACATGCACAAGTTTGATTAGCACAGACTGATTCGGCGTTCGCGCCTTACGTCGTATCGAGTATTTTAACCATCACAACAATGTTATCATAATAAAATTTCAATCTCTGGAAGTGTCACTGCAAACGACAGACAAAAGCATCGTATCAAACAAATATTACCTCCAGGTGTAGGTGGTATAGTTGCTGATGGTGTAACAAATGCTGAGTAGTTGAAATCGCTGCCGGCACTGTTAACAGCCCTAGTAAAAATAATGTTTTTTAAAAATCCAAAATAATAGCCAAAGTGAAAAATTTGAATTTTATGTTCACCCAGTGTGTTTTTCGAAATCTGTTTGGTTTAATTTAAAAATTTGTTTTAAAAGAAAAACGTGTATACTTACGGTCCTAATAGTGGCGTTCTCGCATCAGGATACCTTGGACCTGAAAAATAAAACAGAAGTTACAATCACAGAATTCAATATAATAACGAAATCCTGTCGGGGTTCAGCACTAGATACAGGTTACTGATCACTATTATGGGAAACTCCAGAAATATCTGGGTTTCGGGTATATAGGGCCACGCGTCGGTCACTTGAGGTATTACTGTACTCATATTTCATACTCATATACATGTATAATTTGTATATCTCATATATCTTACACAATTTCATAAAGTATGTCAGATTGTACACTGTGTGTGGTGTGCACCAAATTATGCAGTAAAATACGAAAGATTAACTTACGAAGATATCTCGATACTTGATTCTCAGCTTTCAGTACCTTACTCTCGAACATCCACACTTCTATCCAGCATAACAGAAAGGATATTAATAATAATGCATACGTTTCAAAATTATTCCACTGAAAAAAGTTGTTTTATAAAAAAGAAATGTTGAAAAATTTCAAAATGGTTTGTCTGCAAGATAGAGAAAGATAGTCACAATAACTAATAAATAAATATAATAAAGACTTACAGCACTGTCCCTTTGGAATATAATAAGTTTTAAAAATATATATATCGTCGATATCGTCGTTGTTAACTGAAAATAAACTTTGTTTTATAAATCTTTCCATCAAACAAGATCAATGATATAAACAATTTAAAGGTCTAAAGAACTTATTTTAAGAGGAAATATTGCAGTTTTTAACAGTTATAATCTAATATAGTTTAATAATCACTCACAGCAATAGTAATCTGTAACTGACTGACGATAATCCAGTAGTGTGTTATAAGACATGTTGAGCGACCCAAACTAAGCAGCTGAAAATTACAATTATAAATTTTAATTAGGTAATGAATTAATGATATGAGACACGCATTTAAGATACATATTAAAGCACAAATCAGAAGATTCCACCGTCCGAACTGCAAAGGAAACGATAAATATTTAGGAGTTACTCACAAACCTGATTTAGCAACTTAATCGATTTCAATTTTTAAAAGCTTACAATTTAGTAGCAAGGAGTTATTCGATAATAAATTACGTTTTAATCTTACCATCAAGTCTGCCATCGATTGGTTAAATTTGAAGTTTTTGATTGCAATATCCCACGCAGTATTTAGTCCACCGTAATGATTCTGAAAAAAATTATTACTGTTATATGATAATTTCTCTGTGTACGGACACAAAAAATGCTGTAAAATTCGTCAGAAAGTGAGAATAATAACAATAGCCCCAAAATTGTGCCATATTGCAAGTAAAATGGCACAGTAGGAACCATTTAAGTAGGAAGAAGTAAACTTAATAATAACAATAGAAATAACGAATTAATTTGTCTCAGAGATTATGACCATTTAAAATCCCAACATTAAAAAAATCAACCTGTTAATACAAATAACTAATACAAATAACTAACAATAGCGATGATAGTCCACAGTATGCTGACGAGAAGCATGTCGAAGATGCAGGTGATGCTGAAAATACGCCGCGCAGTGCTGCGCCGCTGGGGGATCACATCGTCCGTAATATAATTACCTGCTGTTAGACACGTGTTACTTTTAATTTGCACGTGTTACTTTTAACTTGCACGTGTTACTTTTAATTTACACGTGTTACTTTTAACTTGGTCACGTGTTACTTTTAACTTGCTGCTAAACCAGATTGTGGCAGAGAATGCACCCCATAACGTTCGATCTGGGAAGTTAAGCAACTGCAGGCCGGGTTAGTACTTGGAATTACATGTGCCGTTTCCTTTAACAAATTGTAGTTCTGATTCCATTTTTAGCAAGGTACAAAATTATATCTGGTTCAATTATTACCTAAAAATAGATTACATTGTCTTTGCAAGTACTGTTTTGACGTATTTGACAGTGATGATAAATATTAAATACACAGTATATGGTATTATCATGTTGAAGAAGTCTTCGTTACAAAAGAAAACTTTCTTAGTCGTTTATTTACGCATAAAATAATGACATGGCATGAATACTTGACATGGCATAAATACTTAAAATATACACGTCTGTAAGTTTCAATGACTTCGCGAGAAAAAGAAAATAAGTAATCACGTACCAACATTGGTACCGTACAACTAATCTATACATGTAATGTCATCATGAAATATTATGAAACAAATCGTTCAGCCGTGTATGCATCACTAGGTATATCAAATAATCATGTGACATGGACATTGAATATTTAATTGTGTAGTGTGTACATGACAAAACAAATAAATGACGTACCAACGTTGAAATGGATGGTACAATTCAGCCTGTACGCGTACGCTTGGAGCTCAGGAACTCCACAACACAGACCAGGCTCACAGATCAGGCTCACAGATCAGGCTGAAGGCTCACAGATCAGGCTCACAGATCAGGCTCACAGCTAACAGCAGCTCACACAATTATAACGGAGACAAATCAGGCGATTGTAGAACAAGGGAGCAGTATTGTAAAGTGGTGTGCTAATCAAATCTGGGGACCTGGTGATGATAACAGATGAAGCGGGGTGTGCGTGGTAATGTATAATAATGGTTTCACAGAGGAGGATGAGGAGGTATCACGTGACTTACATTTGAGTAGTGAGTAGAAGTGAATAAGGAAGTGCAGATAGATTGGTAGATAGTGTCCTTGATATCTACTACTCTATATATTGTTATCTAGTTTATGAAATGTTGTAACCTTCAGGGTGTAAAATGTAGTAAAAATCAGTTGGGTGTAACTTGTTGGAAAGCGAAAAACAGAAACTGAGCATTAGAACTGGTAGTAACTGTTCCAGTGGTTTATTAAGTCACACATTTATCTTTTTATATTTAGAGTAATATAATGTAAATGTTCCAGAGCCTATCTATATCTTTTGTTGGACAGCTTTATTATGTTATAAGTAATTGAATCATCTTGGTGGTGGGAAGTGTGTTTTCATCATCAGGAAGTCAAAATATATATTATCGTTTATATATAGATACTGATCTATTTTCATTTACGACTTTTCATTTCAGGCTTTTCATCTACGACTTTCCTATCGATAGAAAAGTCGTAGATGAAAAGCCTTAAATGAAAAGTCGTAAAGTTAATCTTAAGCTATGTGTAATATGATCAGCTGATGAACAAAAATAAAAGGAACTTTATATAAGAGTAATATAATGTAACTGTTCCAGAGCCTCTCTCTATCTTTTGTTGTACAATTATAAGTACGGATTTATTATGTTATAAGTAATTGAATCATCTTGGTGGTGGGAAGTGTGTTTTTCATTTACGACTTTTCATTTCAGGCTTTTCATCTACGACTTTCCTATCGATATGACGTATAACTATAAATACATATCGATTGGAAAGTCGTAGATGAAAAGCCTTGAATGAAAAGTCGTAAAGTTAATCTAAAGCTATGTGTAATATGATCAGCTGATGAACAAAAAGGAACTACATACTTGACTGAGTATTAACTGATAATAATTTAACACAGGTTTTTGTAGTCGTGTCAAATTTTGAGGTTGTCCAACAACATAAAGTAACTGTGGTTCGTTTATCATATAAATAACTTTATGAGAAGAAACAATGACAGTTTAAGACCAATGAGTTCTGATCTAAAAATGTAAACTATCAACTGTATTATATCATACATACAATGGTATCACAGCATCATGTGGTTCACCTTGTATCAACCTACAGGCAGACCGCTCATAATAACCACTTATCAAGCATACTGTTCATGATGACTGATACATCTTCAGTCCAATATGATGCAAATGTACATAGTACATGTTTGGGAGGATCAGGTAAGGATTTATAGATTCAGATACTCGTGGACAACGGCTGAGTGTCAAAACAACCCCACCTACAACCATTGTAAAGAAACACATACCTGCGTTAGGAACGTAGAGGTAACTGTCAGGATTAGATATAGGACCACTTTGGGGAGTCAGACCACCGTGAGAAACAGGTCTACTATTACCAGGGAGCAGACAGTCGTACTCATTGTGAATACTCCCCGGACCACTGTTCGATAGTTGATTTAGATGTGCAAACAGTAAACCATCCAACTCCAGAACAATTTGATCACTTTTTTGATTAAGTTGGTTCAAAATTCGATGTGTATGATGTGAATAATCAAGTCCGGGATTATGCAAATCTGATTCTATATAAATACTAAAAATAACATGAAATAAACCTGTTTGAGTAGGGAGAAGAGCCAGAGTACTTGTCATTTACATTCGAAAGGATTTCGTTTGCTGCATGAGCAGCCTGGAATGCTCTTTCGTCCTCATAGGATGACTTGGCCGATTTCATTCACTAAAAATGGAAGAAAATAATATGTTAATTTCATAGAGAAAATTGGTTCAAAGATAAATTGTTAATTGTAATGCTCAGAATGAAGGACCATTGGCCTCAAAAACCCTGCAAGACATTAAAACAGCACTGAGCGTGGTGGGTGTATCTGCAAATGATTTTAATAGCACAGCAACAGAATTTTAAGAGCTGTATTAAAGCATTAGAATTCAAAATAACATTGATAAAGAAGCAGTATTTGTTGTTCATCAAACATTTTTTTCATAAACAGTATTGCTAAACTGGCATAATTATAGAAAACTTGGAAATTTCCTTTTTTGGATGAGTAGAATGCAGTGAAAGATGCAAAGCCAGCATTATTTATCTAAGCACAAGATCGTCTACGACTCTACATAGTACTACAAGAAGATATGTAAATTTAATTCAATAAATTAAATATAAAATATTACCATTTTACGAAAAATACGTTCAAGTTTCAGATTCCTTTTTGTGTCTGAAACCAGATACACATTCATACAAATCCCTGTCTGTTATAGCGTTATCATCAATCATAAAACTCTCACCTTTTACCCTAAAAGATTCTAGTAACCCAACATTAACAGGTACTTCTACATCCTTGGGGTCAACTTCTTGGGACACTTGCTTACAAAAGAAATTATACTTTTTGATGACAAGTGTATCAGGGTTCTTTAAGAACATCTCTATGACATAGGTCCGGGTCATGAAAAACACAACCGCAGTGTACATGTAGGTGAGAGTCATTGGTGTGCCGCATGCAACTGCAAACCAAATTGTTGTTAGGTGTAGTTTTTTAGCAGCTATCAGTGGGGCAAAAATTGTGGTTGCAGCACTTGATGTCAAGCTAATGATTCTAGTCCTTCTGATACGTGGAGTGATTTGTCCTTTGTAAACTGTAGGTGGTTGCGTACTCAACCATCTAGTAGTTGCCCCGCATGTAATTCCACGCAGGGATAGATGGAGGAGACGACTGGACAGTTGTAAGGACATACTTGATGATTGAGATAAATAATCAATCTATCACATCATGTAAAACCTAATAATGATGTATTGGTTAGAGCTGAAAAAAATAACTGCCAATTTAATAAACAAGAGAAAAACTAGACATATTATAATCCTATAGATACTACTAGATTACGGGTATCGGCCTTACAAAATGACACGAAAAAGGAGATGGCTCTGAAATGCACAAAAATGAGTTTTGTTCATGTTTTATTATCCAGATAGGTAGTTCAACAGGTATATTTTTCTTCCCGGGGGTTGATTTGATTGAAAAACCGTAAATTTTGCGATAAAAAATGACAATTTCGTCACGGCTGTCATTTTTTAACAGCATCCTATAGAAATTTGATTTCACCTAGGACAGTTAGATAAATATAATAGATTGAAGATTAGAATAGCTTTTACAGGAAAAAGGAAGATTAAAAAAGTTGGGCAATTTCGCGTGAGATAGTGCCTTACAAAATGACAACCCAAAACGGCATCACTTCAAATCCGATTTGGGAAAAAGTTTCATTATTCTTTCACGTGTCTTACTGTTAGATATATATGTTGTTTATATTATACCAGTTCTGTTTTTACCAGAGTATATTAAAAAAGGAACATTTTTTATACTTTGAAAAAATTTTAAAAATGTCATTTTGTGAGGCGTAAAAATAATTTTTTGTTTTCATACTTGAACACAGTATTTGGTTATATTTGATATTTTCTATGACTGGACAGATCACTTTTCAGTGTTTAGTTAACGTTTGACATGTTTTAGGAGTTGTTATTACTCTCTGCTTTCACAAAATAGAAGCTTTATTTCGTTGAGTTTTGAAATCAGAGTTTGAAATCATAGAGTTTGAAATCAAAGTTTTGATATCAGAACTGCACTTTTTTAATGCTACTTGATTGTTAACTGTCAGATTATGATTATTTTTAACTCCTTATTGTATTGACTGTTTCTGATCCATTTTAGATGATGAAAGTAATTCAATCTGAAACATTGTCATTTTGTAAGGCTTTTCGGTGTCATTTTGTGAGGCATTTTAATCAAAATTTATGATCAAACAAACACATTTAGGCTCATCATAAGCTTACTGGGTTTAAGAATACCAATAATTAGGCAAGGGGCATCCAATATAAATATGCCATCTTTGTATCATAAAATAAAACTGTCATTTTGTGAGGCATAACACTGTCATTTTGTGATGCTAGGTCATTTTTTTGTCATTTCTTCTACCAAAGTCACTAAAACAGTTTTTTTATTTGACCAGATGCAGAGTAGTCTTTGATTGACATAAGTCATGGTAGTACCTTATTTTCTGGGGTTAAATTCTAAACTTTGGTCTCCATTCTGGGTAACAGTTTGACGGGGCAATGACTGAACAGCAAAAACGTCCATATTTATGTAAGAAATATAGATTCTATGTCATTATCATTCCTTGGGAAGAGTTAATTAATGCTTTTTCTTTCATACAGTAAAAGGAATAGGGTTCAATGTATAGGGAACCTAAGCTACAGCATGGTCTATGTGGGCTGTCATTTTGTGAGGCCTGTCATTTTGTAAGGCCGATACCCGTAACGATGAAAATCTAAATATTATAGGCTACAATGAGCAAAAAAAGTGGTTGATCAAGCGCCCCAAGGTTGGACATCAAACTATTTAGAAACTTTGTATGATAGGTAGGGGATAGAAAACAGTCTATCCCCTTCTCAATTAATTGAATCACACATTTCTTAATGTGAGCCTATTGCAAATATCACATTTATCTTCATATAAGTGCAACATCATTAACTGTAATTTAAGGAGTCTTCACAAAGCCTTTCTTCCTGAGAGGGTTGGTTATACCTTATTGTTAAGAACTCTAACAGTGTAAATAATTTCAAAATAAATCTAGAATGTTTTAAAAAGAATTGTATCCTGAAAAGAATTTGTTATGATCATCATTGGAAAGGGTCCGAAGAATTGATAAGTAGAAATGAGGGAGGTAATTTTTGCAGGTAATTTTTGTAATTTTTCTCGAAATTGTTGTTTTCTTGAATTTTTCGAGAACAAGAGTAATCATAGATATCCTGTCATCACAGTGATTATGTGTGGTTCCATTAGCAAAAAGGAAGTTTAGTAATTTGAACTAAGAAATTTGCCTCCTACGTTTTTGAGAAATGAAACCTATCTTATTGGACCGGGCTCAGCCTGTCCTTCCACCAAATCTTCATTCGATTAGGTTTATGAACATTATAGCCTGAGGTCTCCAGGTAAAAACCCCAATTGATCAAGAGTACTCGAAATAGTGAGGGTACACTAAGTTTTTGGGGTTTCAGGTATGTGTAGCTTCGGCAAAGGATTTCCAACATTCGTGAAATTAAAGAACCACAACAAATCAAACAACTCTGATATAGCTCTGAAATTAGTGTTTAAACTGCGGCTCCAAAAATCTGATGTTAGATATAAAGCATACGCCATTACACATCAAAACAAATTAATTTCGAGTTCAATTATTGGAATAGGGAGATATCACAGTTTTTTATTTTAATAGTGTCACATAAATTAGTTGATAATGACTTTGTAATATGCATGGCTCAGGTCACCCACATGGTGGAACATAAATTTAAGATTTGAATTAAAATATTCAAACAATAAATAACCTTTTAAAAATGGAAAAATATTTATTTTTAGAAAATCCTAAAAACTGAGAAACATTTATAAAAAACCTTTACAGTAGCCAAATGAAATGACATCATTAATTTTAATTGTGATTATATTTTTCTTTTTAAAACGTTCGACACGCACGCGCAACGAAGGTTTATATATTAACATTTTTAATAATTGTAAATAAACTAGGAAAGAATTTAAAATGTATTAGTTTCTTTTTATAATGTGTCCAATTCTCTACATCGATATATAATACAAAATAAATTATTTTAAAACAAAAGCCTAGCCTGAGAATTTTTAATAAAGCTTTCCGAGTTGCTCTAACCACAGCCCTTTCGCTTGCAGTAGCGAAACAAGCGCGTCACGCAGTACGCGTAGACACATGGTTATGTGAACTTTCCGAGCTTTATCACTTATTTGGCAAACAATGAACTCCGCGCGCACGATAAATACATAATTGATTTCACATAGCCATGTATCTTTACGTGTATTTTGCGTGCGCGTGACACGTTTCTTTCTGCACTGCACAAGTACAATACAAATTGTATGCCGCCTTCGGCGGTCGCGCACTACTGCAAGCGAAAGGGCTTTGGTTAGAGCAAATGTTTAATCTAAGAACTATTATGGCATTACGCGTTGACCATTGTTAATGATCAGGCCCGGCGCGTGCTACATTTCGAGAAGAAAACGGCGCGCGCTACTTCGAAGAAATTTAGACGAGTAACATCCGTCAACATTATACGTACATTTCACTTTAACACTAGCTGCCAGTTGCCATATGGTATGAACATAAAATAATACTTTTCTGTTATTCAACTAGCTGAGCTGAGCTGCGCGAGTAATTGAAGGACGTCTTCGCTTCTCGCGCCGCGCGCATTGTGAATTTAGTATTATCTTAAGAAATTAAATTAACTTTTTAAAGTAATTAATTTTTACTCTAATTATGAATTATAAATCTAGCAGCATGCAAAATATAATATTTTTGAGTTATCTTAACAGAAGTTTACTTTTGTGTGATTAACTTTATAACTCCACTTTTGACCTATTTGGCGGCCATTTATTAATCCCATAATTGCACCGGTTTTTGTTCCGGGGGTGCGATTACAAAACTAATTGCAGTGTTTTGAGAGTGACCGAAATCTTATTAGGTACGATTACTAAACTAATTGCACTGATTCCCTAAAAGATGCTGTAAATCATGGCTCAGGCAGATAATTAGAGTTAGAGAGAGCACCTCGTAAAATGAGGACCTAATTAAAACCGAGTATTTTACTACTGTGAGGTGCTGATTCAAGTATTGACTTAAATCAACTACCTGAGGTAGTTTGGCGACCGTTAGTGCAATGGTCGCACGAAATAAATTTATGGGCACAAATTTAAATTTATAGTTTAGGACAACATCTTTCCTTGTGTTTGGAATAAGTCAATCCTTACATTGCATTAACACAACACAGTATGAGGCTGAGATCTCACTAATTATTTGTAAAACAAAAAGTGGCATAACTTATGTTCTGATAAATATTTTTGCTTCTAAATTTCACAGAATGTTAATAACAAGTATCTAAACCTTTGTGGCAAGTTTTGTGTGATTGCGAGCTTCACTGAGCTTATTTGACCAATTTAGCCCCTGAGCGAGCTAGCTTGAATTTCTCACCCAGAACTGTTTACATTGGTTAATAGAAACCACCAAAAAAAATCCTGGGTAACAAAATTAAAAAACCAGCGATTTATTCACGTTTTACCAATTCTATTCACATGGATCCATCGCACATTCCATTCTCTCTATATTTTAACTGATAAGGACTATCACAGATGATCCTTCCTGCTTGTTTATATCGTTCTTCTCACATGGAATGTGCGATGTATCATGGTGAATAGAATTGGTAAAACATAAATAAATCTGTGGTTTTTTAATTTTTTTACCCAGGATTTTTTTTGGTGGTTTCTATTAACCAATGTAAACAGTTCTGGGTGAGAAATTAAAGCTAACACACTCAGGAGCTAACTTTGTCAGACAAGCTCAGACTCACACAAAACTTAGCACGAAGTTGTGTCTAATCATGATTAACATTCTCTAAAAATTTGAATCAAAAATATTAATCAGAACGTAAGTTATGGCGCTTTTCCATTCTGAAATAAAATAATTAGTGAGATCTCAGCGAGCTGTTACAATTTTAAGAGATAAGGATGGGTAGACTTTTGAGGCCCACCCTGTATAACAACAAAGTCGGTGCGATTATAAACTAATTACACTGGTTATAACATCAGAGGCGTGGAGTTATACGCGAATCTAACTGCATGTATAATACGATTACACCAGTTATTGCACTCGGCTGCGCCTCGTGAAATAACTGCAATAATCGAACTCGGCTTCGCCTCGTGCGATTATTGTATCAATTTCCACTCGGCTGCGCCTCGTGCAATTAATAGTGTAATCGCATTATACGCAGTTAGATTAGCGTATATAATTAAACAATTACAATTGTTGAATTTATTTGTGCGTATATATATAATATATATATAATGTATTATTTGAGTAATTTTCTTTCTTTCCTACAATTTTCGACTCCTCTCATCATTATTACTGCAGGTCTTTTACTTAACTGTCAACAACAAGTCAAGTAACTCCGGTTAATATTAAATACTTTTTAGTGAAAGTTCAACGTTTCAGTCACCAACTGGCGTTCTTTTTAGCATGAGTTTAAGTATTTAAGTTTAATCACTGTATATTCATACAGGGAAATCTTAGGATGATGGTTTGGCAGTGGTTTGTGGCATAATTCTGAGCTGTTTAGTTGACGGATCGGAATAACTGGCCTATTTCCTTGGAACAATTACAATTGTGCTTCTACAGCTCTAATCGAATGTGCAGACACCTTTGTTTTTAGACTGCTGGTAACAATGTCATTTAGCTCTAGAATTGAATTGAGAAGTCCCTCCTGAAAAGTTTTGGTGTAGGTAGAGGAGTGGTATCTATCACAAGCAATGCAATCGGTTACATTTAACTGCCCGGAAAGACCATCGAAAAGTGTAGGTCGTTACACATCAGGTCATGTTATCCCGATCCAAGGCATCCGTTGATAGATCCTGATGTGCCCTTTAATAATGTGGTGCTTGTCATTAATTGGTGGGCACAAAGTAGCATGGAATCTCACAGACAATTAGTTCCCTGATGCTTCATTTAATACGATTAGCATCCGGATTCTGAAATTCTGCACCATTTGGCCTGTTATCAAGCAGTGTGGCATCTTTCTGAGATGTAAATTTCCTGACTAATCAAAAGATGTGAAATGTTCTTGGTGGTTGTGATTGTGCAGGCTTTGCATGCAACGCTTATTCTATGCATTTAATATGAGAAGTTCCCCCAATGAAATGTATGTTTTTGCTCGGCGGGGTTGAGTGTCTTACACTACCCCATCTTGTTAATAATTATTGATGAACTTCGCAGAACCTCAAGCCTGGCACATGCATCGACCTTCAGGTATTCACCTAGAAGCACTGCACAAGCATCTGGCGCAGTGGCGTAACGAAGGGCCCCGCTGACCCTGCTGTGTAGGGGGCGCCGTCTTAGGGGGGCGCCAAATCGTTTGAATGTGGGACAATTTCGAAAACTTAACTAAAGTACTAGCAAAACTGCGCATTTTTGCTCTAGATACACACTTTTTAAGAGATTTTACCATCGTATCCTCTAAAATCACCTAATTTTTTCAATTTTAGGGAGGGGCACCAAAAGGGGATGGGGCGCCAACAGGGGGGCGCCTTTTCGGCGGGTGCGCCAACAGGCAACGTTACGCCACTGATCTAGCGTTGGGTTTGTTTTGTTCAAATTGTGAATGGTTGAACTTACCATATATTCGTAAGTATGTGCTAGTAAAGATCTTATGGTGCTAGTAAAGCTCTTTTTGCCAACTGATTTTGGTTTAAGTACTAACCTACGTCTGGAATCAGAACAGGTGTAATTGTAATATCCCGCAAGGTCAGCATGCTAAATTATCTCGTTAAATTTCGTTTACCTTTAAAAATATTTAGAGTTCATGTTGATATAATTTAATTGATAAAATTTGTTTTTGTATTTAAAGATGATGAGTTTTTAATATGACGTAGAATTAAAGCTAGATCGGTATGGCATTTTTTGTATGTGTGCACGTTCAAAGGACCATGAACCTGCAAGTTCTTTTTATTTGTCAGTAGAGCATCTTTGGCTATACTGATTCTAACAAGTTTATTATCGGATGTTTACTTATATTTATTATGATAAATTTATTATTCAGAATAAAACAAATATTCAGAATAAAACAAATATTATATTCAAATCTCTTTATTCAACAATATTAAATCATTATAGAACCTAATTTGTGGCTTGATCGTTATGTTAGGGCTATTCTGTTAGCTGATGCTGACAGGCACTGCATGGGGCAGAGACTTAGGACCATTACGCTGGAGGCTTACAATGACCCTTTTTGAACCCCATGGCAGTGCTAGTTTTATTATGGTACAGATTGTAAATCGAAGTTATGAAAACGATCAAGTCACTCCTGTTTTACACTATCAACAGCTATTTAAAACAACCTAGATTGTACAACTCACTTTGAGGATTAAACTGTTAAGTGATGAGTGATTGGGGTCATTAAACATTTTAGTAGCGGAGACATGCGGATCAGCTTCTTGAGGTTCTAGTATTTCATTCAGACAAGAAGTTTTACTTTTTCAAATTTAGTTGTTCAAGCTGCCTGAGCTCAGAAAGTTTACCAAAGGGGCCCAGGTATTCTTGTCACTTTTACCCTCAGACGAGAGAATGACTTTTTTTACCTTTGATTTGAATACACCATGAGTGATTTCAAGGTCGTTCAGTGCCAACATCTGACGGAATGAATTCCAAAGGCAACTAGATTTGTAAACGAAACTGTTTGAGGGCATGGTTGTTATAAGAAGAGTTTCTTTGCCGGGTCTTTTAGACAAACAGAAAAGTTCAAATAGTGCAATTGGTGTTCGATATTTAAAGACTTTAAAAAGTTCATTGCAGCAGTGATACGCGTATAAATTATGCAATGTCATGAGTGATTGACGGGCAAAAATTGGCTTGGTGTGCTCTCTCTCAAAGAATTTGCTCGTAAGTTTCTGTTCACTGATAGGTCTAGTCCTAGCACATGTCATAAATTTATCAAGGTATGCTTTTTTGTCACCAAACATGATACGAACACACTTTTTCTGGGCTACAAATAGTGGTTGAAGTTTATTATTACTTGCACCTCCCCAAACGGTAATGCCATAAGATAGGTGACTTTCAAACAGTGTGTGGTACAAGTCCTTATGGATAGATGATGGAATTTTATCCTTAATCATGTACAGCATTTTCTAATATAAGATATTGTATTGATTGTTCTGTGGCAAATTAACTGTTCTCTTACTGATTTCTGTTCTGTGAAAGTGGCTGGAAATGTTCTCATTCGTGATGCACTTACAATGTTTCTGGGGCAAAGTTTGAATTGATCCCGTTTGTTGTGACAAGGAAAAGGCTCTTATCAGGAAAGGAATTGTTTGACATTTCAATGTAACAACATCGTATTCATGATCTCTATTATTTTCTATAATATACTAGTTGTGTTGAAAGTATTAAACATATACAAATTCCTGGTTCCAGCCAAATTTGTGAAACAGTCTCTTGTCCAATCTTGATTTCTTTCAATCATACAATATTGTTTGTGGGGTACAGTAATTGTACTATTTATACAAAAAGACATTTACAGATCAAATTCAATTCGAATTAACATATAAGCTTATGAAATCCTGGCAAAAACCTTTTTGCTGTCAAAAAATATAACATGATATTGATAAAATGTAGGCAACTATTGGTCATTATTATATGTATTAATGGATTCACTGACATCAGCATATCTCAGTCTTGCACGTTTTAAGAATCGAAAGAAAAATTTCCTAAATGAAGGCATGAATATCATATAAATTATAGGATTCATGGATGAGTTTAAACCAACACAAAATATCTCTTGAAAATTATTAAAATAGAAATAACTATCAAATGTGAATAGGTGTAAGGCTTTTGGATACAAATAGCCTACCGAGTATAATATTACAGTAACAACTGGTGGCACATTAAATATTATGTACACTACAGTCACCACTATAACAGTCAATGTTACTTTTTTCTTTTCGTTTATCACATTACCATTAATGTTTCTTACACTCATTTCAAGGGATACATTTATAGATTTCTTCATAGCATACACAGATAATATGCAGCTCAAAACAATCGGAATGACTGGTACAATCAGTGGTATGATCACCAAAAATAGGTGTGCTATCAACACAATCTTTGGTGAGGTTACTACATCTCCTATCATCCAGATGCATTTCGTGTTCATTTCGCTGTAGTAGTATTCAATCTTCATCTGAAAGTATAAGACAGCTTTAAAGACTGATTTTCACAAAAAATGTATTTATGAACTCAGTTTTCTTTTCTGAAGGCAATTATTCATAATCATAGGTAATTTTAACAACTCTTTGCTAATAAAGCTATCCAATCTATACAATCATAGAAGAGAATAAAACTTACTGCAAAGGGCACAGATGCTTGTAGGAGCTGCAAAACAGTGTAAAATATTATTATTATCAGAACAGATTTCTTACTGATACTTCTGAAAGGAAATAATAAGTACACGGTTCGAGTTACACTTAGTACCATGACTAGAAAAACTGACAATCTTGCTGCAACGTTCCACAGGAATCCATGTGCATTACACAACATTCTATAAGAGAAGAAGTGTCCTCTTCTGAAGTCTAGGTCTGAAATTCCGATTGGAGCCATCATCAAGCAAGTCAAAAAGTCTATGACTGATATCGAGATGTATATGATTTTGATTACGTCCTTCTTTGATTTCAAGAAGAATGCCAGTGCCATTGCGTTCCAAATAACTCCAAATGTTGCCATGTACAGTGCAAGGATTCCATTAAAGATATCTAGTGATCGTATGACCCATTGGGGCATTGTTGGATAGTAGACAGCATTTGCTATTGTGGCATCTGTTAGGTGGTCAATCATCCCTGATGTAAAGTTCATATGTGATACTTTTTTCCCTAAGAAATAGTTTTTGGTTAGAGTAATTTACCTGTAGTAAGGATTAAGATATAACAGCGGGATAAAATAAAAATGGGCGGGTAGAAACAATTTTGCAGTATTAACTTTAAAATACGCTTTGTGAACATTGTTTTACACATGATGTTAGGTTTGGGATATTTTGCGATGAAATGTACATTATATCACAGCTTTTGTTTATAATATCTGAAAGTTAGTAATGAAATTTGATGAGAATATAATAATCTGTTGCACTCATATTTAAATAGGTAGAACGATTTCTGTTCCTTCTATAAAGTGGTTCTCAATATTTATCCAATCAAAGTTTCATTTATTTGATTTATTCTCACCAAAATGAAATGCTCTTAACTAATCATTCTTTTATTCAGGATGGCTATATTAGAAGGTCCGGTGAACCTTTTAGCCAGCAATATGGGCCTCCCAGTCGATGCTGTAAGACTAGTAACGGGACTTCTCTTCTGTCAGATCTTTGCTGTTCTCCACCGAGTAGTGATCTCCAAGATGTCAGATCCCACAACTAAACGGACTATACATCTCCTGTTAGGACTATTTCTGGGCTACTATGTCTGGGATCTTGACTGTCTGCACCACTGTGCATCAGCTCTAGGCTTTTATCTTATGTTCTCCATTTTGCCCTGGGAATTGGCTGCCAAGCTGAACTTTTTATATCAGCTAGGATACCTTGCTGTGGGCTACTACTTCAACAACTTGGTAGAAAACTACGCTATCAACTGGACAACCTCCCAAGCTGTGGTAACCCTAAAGATGATCGGAATCGGGTTTGATTTGTGTGACCGTCAAAAGGATGGAGTGAAACTCCCTGGAGTTATGACGATCCTAGGTTATGTCTTCTTTATGGGTACATATCTGGTTGGACCTTTGGACGATTTCAAGAGATTCGAAGCATTCTTCAGCGATAAGTTGTTTGACAAGGAGAAGGGTCCGGGTATTGGAATTGGATTGAAGCGAGTGGCTCACGGGGTTTTCTACCTAGTTGTGTCTGTATTGACAACATCATTCTTTACAACCGACTACATGTTCACCCCACAATTTCTAGATCTACTGCTGCCTTTGAGGATCCTGTACGTTACTGCCTGGGGGCACTGTGGGCTGTACAAATACCTTGGAGTGTGGTGTATTGCTGAAAGCGCTTGTATGTACATGGGTTACACCTTCAACGGCGAGGAAAAGTGGGACGGCCTCCGGAATGTGTCCACCAACGCATTCCACCAGTCCACCAAGCTTCAGGACATCATAGAAACCTGGAACATCAACACCAGCAACTGGTGCGCGAAGCACATCTACAAGCGCTGCAGGTTCCTGGGGAACAAGAGTCTGTCCCAGCTGATTACCATGTTGTTCCTCGCTACGTGGCACGGACTCCATCTCGGTTACTTCATCTGCTTCTTCCAGGAGTTCCTCTACTTGTTTATGGAGAAGGGAGCCTCTACTAATCCTCTTCTTAAACAAGTCAGTAATGTCCTTCCTAAATCAGTCGAGAAGCTCCTGTGTTGGCTATATGCCAAGTTGTTCTTGTCCTTTGCTCTTGTCGGATTTGAACTCTACACCTTTGACAAAATCATGTACATTTACGGTTCCATCTACTACATCTGCCCGGTTATTGCTCTCGTTATTATTTCAACTAACACTATCTTTGCCGAAAAGATCTCATCTGACAAAATTGAGTAAAACTTACAAGAGTGATATACCGTGAACTCTTAGCGGTGAACTCTATTTAGAGGTCTCTAAGTGAACTCTATTTAGAGGTCTCATTATAAGAGTACTCCACCGTGAACTTTAGAGGTTCACTTGACCAGACTAGTAATTACAGCTGATTTTCCCGTTGTTCTAATCACTGTTTTAAGATAGGTACTTTAGAATATTATGCTTAATGGTAGTTGGCTAGAATGTTGTACATTTTTAATCTGTATAAATCCTTTTTGTGAAATATATTTTTGAACAGACTAAACCAATGTAATTTTTAGATCAGCTATTAGGATATAGGATTGAAATCAGTGCTGCTATTTTAGGTGCATGATTAAAATTAATACGCATGATAACTGATATATAAGTATGATACAATTTTGAGCATGGAATTTTAAAATGTGGGATAAATAAAAGACGTGTGTAATCTAGGTTAATTTTCATTTTCACTTTGCTTTCTGATTTTGCTCTTTGTTGTTGTCAATCTTACTGTTGAGCGGCTTTTTAATTGGGTTTCAAGCATTTTGTAGAATTAAATTGTAGCCAATTGATTTCTATTGCATGCTAAGGGTGTGATGTTTGTTTTTGAAACTGGCAGAGAAGAATTTAAGCGTAATTTGGGGTGTGCTAATTTTATCATAATAAGCAAGTATTGGGGATAAAGTAATGCTGACTATGATGAAGTTGTTGTTATTCTTTTCTTTTTAGATCACTTCGCCGAATAAATATGTCAATGTTTTGTTCTTCAATTGTCATATTGAGTACATATCAAAAGGACAAAGTTTTAAAAACCTCACTCCATCAGAAACTTGATGAGTGATCCTAAGAACAGACTACATAGATAAATTGTTACAAGTCACCTTTGAAAATCGAACAAGGCTTATGAGAACATGTAACTCGCGATATCTGTAAAGTGCAAACTGCAAACACTTGTGGTCTCATTTATTCTCTCACAATCTATATTATATAATAACTATTCGTTTTTCTAACCTGATTTCATCATTTCAGAATAAAATAAAGAACTGTTGGTTGAGACACAAAGTTAAATGCTAAAACACATTATTCGACCTACGATTTTTAAGTTCCGACGTTATACTAACTACTGGGTCAGCTAAGAAATAGCAGATCGGGCAAAACGATTTAGTAGATTTTCCGTTATAATAAAGAGAATTAAATACCAAGAAAGAAGCAAATGAGAATTATAGACTTAACTAACCCGCTTAACTAACTTTTTAAAGTAACTTTTTAAACTGCTATTTAACTAAGTTAGAACTATTATATCAGAACTTTCTTCACCCAAAACACGTCTCCTCTGTCTTTTCAGTGCAAGTAGAGGTCAACATTTTATACTGTCTCAGCTATATTTGCACGATCACATAACAGTGAATTACAATTGGACGAGGAACGACCACTTAAATCTTTAGCACAATAAAGAATTGAATGATATTTCTAAAGTAGCATGGACTTACACGACTGCAGTTAACATTAGATTCCATAGCTATAACATGTATAACAGTATAACTTGCTTGAATATTGAAAATTAGAATGCCTAAGACGTTTTGGAATCTACCAAGAAAAAACTGATCACATAATTAAAAAATACCTTGAACAAAAGAACAAAAGCGCGGCTGATGCAATGCAATCAGCTAGGTTGGATGAACAAGCAGCATATCCTCAATCACATCACCAATAGGTATGGACGCTAACCCAGCTGCAATAAAACAGTTCGTGGTCGTACCTTTGAAACCGTTTTATGGTCCACGATGGTCGTCACCGTAGACGGTCGTAGGCATTTATTTAAATAGTAATAGAGCCGTTTGGAGCGCGTTTTTTTGGGGATTATATTAAATTTAAACGAGACTAATTTTGTCAAAATATATAACGTCCCTGACAAATGGTGGTGTTATTTAGTTGCCGGCACGGAAGGAAAAGCCTTGGTAAGCACGTGAGGAGCTGAGGGGAGTGAAGATCCACCGTCACAGACACTGTTGCTCACCACTTAACCAATAACCATCGTAAAATTGGAGGTTAAATCGAAATCTTATTTACGGTTATTCGTGCGCATGAGCGCTTGTGGCGAGACAACCATTTAATCTGCAGTAACAGACGGTGCTGAAAATCTCTCTTAGTCCTGGTTACCGTATACTATATTTAATGTGGTCATGAGAGTTTCATTAAAATTCTCGGCTAATACTATAAAATTAACGGGATTGACGCTTCAAGATTAATGGGGAAGACAGGATTTAATGAAACAAATAGCGGTCCACCACATGTCTAACTCAATATTGCAGTGTGATGTTGTTAAGGGGAGGAATCTCCAGCAGTTAAGTAATGAAGAGCATGATTGGAGCAGCAACATGAACTTGTCTCAACTAGAGACTAGAGCTGGGATTAATCAGCTAGTCGCGCTATTAACACCACCTCGTACTGGGGGTATTTCACACGTGCTGAGGGTATTTCACACGTGGGCATTTCACACGTGGGCATTTCACTTGTGCGATGTTTCCACACGCTACCCAATATTAGCGATTGCACAGAACAAGATAGCACAAAACCAATGATCCGTTTAATCATAACGTGACACGTGTGGACTGTGGGGGCGCTGTGATTGTTACAGACGATCAATTAGTTTTGGGAGCTCTCATCTTCATTTGATTGGGAGTTCTCAGGAAAGTTCATTAATCGGGTGCCTGCAGGAAAGCTGTTTAACTATTATAGTTCATAACACTGCCTCAGCTGCAGGTTGATCGGGGAAGTTAAGATAATGGAACTTCACGGACAATATATGAAGCTGACAACAAATAATAATCATCTTGGGTTTCATTACCCGTGAATAACAAGTTATTATAACTACGTAACAAGGATTTATCCTGGCAATTACGAGCTTTCACCTGACACCTGACACGACTTATTTGTCTGTTTACTTGCTCAGCTTTCTTTTCCGTGTCATGCTCCCTAAATTTAACTGTCAATTTGTCAGCTACGTTGACTTTTCTCGCACATGAAGTTTAGAAATTTAAAATTGCAGCGTGAACTACAAACTACCACTCAAAGTTTAATAAAAATGAGTGTAAAATCCAACGTCATTAATTCCAGTATCTCAGACCTGTCTTGCAAGTGATATACACAAGTTTATAAATGACGCTAACTCAATGCTCAAGCTAAAAATATTGCAGAACCATGGGGCCAGAATTATAAATACGAGATGGCACGATTACCAAAGATTGACAAAACTCGAATAAAACTACTACTTATACTATCTGGTTTTAAAGATCAATGGCAGACTTTCTTAATTAACTTTCTTAATTTTCATCCAGAAAAGTAATCATAATCAGGAGAATAAGCCCCTTTGTGGGTTAAAAACAGTTAACTTACTGCAATATCATTAGGGGTGTGTTACTGTTGTTAACATTATGTGAACGGTTTATAAAACCTTCGGAAAAGATACGATCATAATCATAATTATTATAGTTATATTTATGATTGTAATATCGTTAGCATCATGATCAGAAATATATGTTCGATAAACTAATTAATCCCCGACAAATGTGTTATGTTCTACAGAAATGATGTCTGTTTTTTAATGATAAGATAGCTGCCTATTGGAATGAACTGAATGATGAAAGTTTTCTATCTGAAAAACCAAACATTTTCATAAATCAAATTCAACTTTGGTACGACACTTGGCAAATTGACCCGTTCATGGATAAGTTACGAAAAGCACAAATGTTACACATATTATGTCCATCAGTAAATATTATGAATAAGGAATAAGGATATATCCAAGCGTTACCCGGATAAAATGTTCTTCAAAAACCATTGAATCATTTAAAAAACCACGGTCAAACCGTGGGAATAATGAAAAAATTCACAATTTAATCGAAGTTTTCAAGTAAATAAATATAATTGAAGACAAATAAGTGTTATTTCGCAGCGGATCAGGCTCTTTATAGGCTCACTCTCTCGGGGCGGAACTGCTATCATCATATAATATTAACGTGACGTGAACACGTGCAAATGACGTGAACGCGTGCAAATGCAATGAACACGTGCAAATGCAATGAACAACCTTCATTAGATGATTCAAGCCAATTTTATTTTGACAGCTCTTATTTGACCCTACTCATATGTTTTAGTCAAATTTAGTATCGGCTCAAGTAGGAGGTGTTTACTGACGTACTATTTCGTCAGTTATTATATGAGCTTATCTCACGTGATACCCTTATATGGGCATGTATGGGCATGTCTCCACATGAGCTCCGTTTAACTTTATGAGACTGACACTTGACAGGAGATGACATCTTTATTTTCATGAATCTCATGATAATAAATCGTTTAAACAGCTAGTAATAATGAATTCGATCACCATCGCTAAAACATATTATATTATAATGATTGGCCTTCTATATTTTTATTCTATTACAATTGGATTTTAAACGTTTCCATCATCTTACTATACATAAAACGAGACGATATATTATTATGTTTGTTTATATATCCGAAGTCACTATCATTTTTCACTCAAAGGGATCTGACACGAATTACGTGAGTTATTAAAGGGTTGCGTGTGGGCAGTTACTTCTGGGCCACCCTGTATGTTTACATAATAGGGTGGCCCATAAGTGACTACCCACACGCAACCTCTTAATAACTCACGTAATTCGTCTCCAAATTGCACCAAAATTTCAGAGATTATAGATATGGGTCAAACTTAGATTTCCTGAAAGTTTCGTAAGCCACGCCCAATTACAGTGGGCGTGGCGTGACACTCCCTCTTTTTCACTATTGTCTTCATAAAATGAGAACGCTTTAAGCTAAGAACTCAAAATTTTGTGCACACATTTGGCTTGATAATTGAAAACCTTTCCCAAAGTTTCAAGTTCATTGGTTAAAATATTGCTAAGTTATGACCATTTCAAAACTCATCGGATACGTGATCCGAGCACTCAGTCAGTGATCTCGTCACTTGGTTAATGGCCTGTTTGGCTCACATGCACGGCTTGATTGGTTGCAGCCTGCTTATGGGCCGGCCTTTATAACAGCTGACAGCACCTAAAACGCTATCACACGAATTTATGGTGGTGTCACCATTTCAGGGCTTGTTAGCCCTGCTAGTCACAGGTTCCTTACAATCAATAAAGAGGAATGAACCATCCATTGAATCATCGAAAATGGTTCACTATCCTCCCTTTACTGCAGAACAACGATTGTTCGTCTACCTGAAGAAAGAAAATGGGGAGTTCTACCCTCAGATTAAACGACAATTTCAGATGAAATTCAACCGACCACCCCCTTGCCGGAAAAGCTGCTTTGACATTCATCACAAGATCAAGTTTACGTTTTCTGCACACGATCGGCGAAGAGTCGGCAGAAGACGAACTGCGAGGAAGACATCACGATGGTTGTTGGTGACGTGATAAACACACCTAAGATTGGCACCCGGAAACGAGCTCCTGCCTTAGACATCAGCAGAACAACCCTTCAGCGAATCCTCAAGCAAGACCTTTCTAACCGGGCCTACCGAATCACAATGAAACACAAACTTTTGGACCGTGATTTCCAATCGAGGATAGATTTCGCCAACACATTCCTGTCCAAGCAGAATGTGGATCCCTACTTTTAGGACTAAATCTGGTACAGCGGTGCCTCAAGGTGATTGCAGCTGGGGGACGACAATTTGAACATCTTAATTGAAATTATTGAATTTTTTTTGTGTGGGAATTTTT